CTGAAATTAATTTCAGGTTTTAAATTAATCCCTCCTTCTCTCTTGAAACCGCCGGCCTCCCCTCCTTACTCCTCCCATTAATTCCCCAATCAATACCATAACTCCCTTGGATTTGAAATTCAAAATCCAAGTCAATTCCCTCTCAATTTTAATCAAAACTGAAATTAATTTTCAGATTTTGATTAATCCATCCCCCTACACTCTCCACTAAGCCTAATTTCTCTAAACCCAAGCTCCCTTCACCTTGCACCCGCCGGCTTCACCCTCTCTCCATGGGAATCCCGCCGACCCCTCTTCTCTCTCTCCTTCTTTTGTGAATTGAGAAGCCAAGAGAAAAAGAAGGCGACGCATTTCCACCTCTATTTCGATGATGCATGGCGGATCCGGAGCTTGATAGTGGATTGGTGCTCGACGACGAGGGATATATTCACCCCATCCGCTCTCCCTTCTTTGACGTCGGGTTTGGATTCGACGAAACGGTGGAGAACTACTTGAACCGCATCCTACCCACACTCATCGACATCATAGACGAGCGGTTCGAAGATTACGAGTGGACTATTGAAAGCACGCCGCCCGTGTTTCCTCCACCACTGGCAACCTCTCCGTGGCTCAAGACCCTTGGCATTGCGACCTTCCTCGTGGCATCGTTTGGTGTGCGAAAATCTTCTCCCGCTAAGCCTAGTTTAGTTGAGTGGTTAATCCCCAAGGTGAACTTCTCGTTATTAAATTACGGATTGTTGTTTAATAGCTTTTGGTGTTGCTAATATCGTTGTTTATCCATGAGTTTTGGTCAATCTACGCATACTTCTTCGCCTAAGCTAGTTAATAACACGATTTCTTTAATGATTTTCTTGCTATCTCAATAAGATTTTAATTGAAAATTTGAAATTACGTTGTCATTCACTTTTAATTCTCTTAAGAAGCTCCTTCGCATGTTCGTTCTACATCAGATAGTCTGACCACTCCTGCAACAATTCAGTGAGGTGTTCCAGCTGCTCCAAGGCCTACATTCCCCGAGGGAGCATGAGCATGTCATCATCTTGAAGAGGTGAGCTCAATTTACCCAATGTTAGTCAATTTATCTCTTAGGCTCAAATTTTTGTAGTAAAACTTATTATGTTGAAATCCTAAGACTTCATACTATAGAATTATTCTTTCTCCCTCCACTTTTCTTTTTTATTTTTTACTCAATATTCAAATATAGTTAGGAGTGATTCACGAATATTTCTGGATTCAACAATCACCCAAATATTTGTAAAAAATAATTTCATTTAAAAATTTTTCTTCTATAGTAAAAACCAACAATAGGCTGGGTTAAGTAGTAGACAACTGCAAATATGTAGTTCAATAGCCAAAAGGTATTTACACAATAAACCATGTGCTTTACATAAGTTTATACATACATGAACACACTTCAAGATGATATTCTCTGACTGAAAAATATATTTCTTGTAATTAGTAAGAATCATTTTCACCATATCAAGAAAGGTTTGAAATAGACCATCCAAAACGAATTGAAATACAAAGTAAATAAATAAAGGGTTTTTAAGCACAGTTCAGTACCTCTTCCACGGAGGGTTGTGGATTTTTCTTAACCACGATGGGCCTTCCCACCACAATATCCATAGGTTGTCTAAAGGGGATAGGTGATCTGAATAACAACAACAATAATAATAATTAATAAAAATAAATAAATAAAATTTTCTAGAAGGATAGCATAATAGCTTGACAATGAAATATAGAGAATTCCAGACATTATTAGCCAGGGAAGAATTAATATCACTTGAAAAAATATATTCGAGTTACCCAAATCTTCCCCAGAATATGATAGGGGCAAACATGACTGCCCGAGCAATCTGGTTAAACAATTTGCCATTGAGCTTCCTCCACTTAAAAACTTTAGACTGCAAACAAAACAATAAAGAAAATAACAAAAAATTCACATTGCAAGACAAAAAAATACAAAATCTTGTATATAGGAACTATTGATAAAATCGTTTAGCTGACTATACAAAGGCAAGTTTTTATGTATTCCAAACAACCTGAATTGCATAATTTGTTGCAGTTTTGGTATCGGTGTTTAGTTGTAGGAATCCTTACCTGGCCAAAGCAAAAGACAGGAACAAGAGGTCTGCCGGTCTCCATTGCTATCTTTATGAATCCTTTCCTTGCTTTAAGGAAAGCAACCTAATAATAAAACAAAATGTTATGTTTAAGCACAAACTTAATGATATTAGATAAGATAAATTATTAAAGGCTTCGTTTGGGACGACTTTATTTGTGCTACTTAAAGCAGCTTTTTAGTATAAAATTTTTAATTTTTGTATTAGAAAGTTGCTTTATGAAGCAGTAAGAAAGCCGTCCCAAACGAAGCAAAAATATGCAATTAAAAAGTTCATCAGCATGTCTTTGAAAGGCTTAGCCAACTCATTAATCAAGTGAACAAAAGACTTCCCTTGTTCGCGATAAAAACTATTTGACAATATCATCAAAAAGAGGCATTTTAGTTATTAGCATTGATATGACCCCAAAAAATTACTGATTCCAAATCAGGTTGGACATTTGATCAAGAACACCAAAATTTATGCTTCTACAATCTCCATGTAATGGTGGCAAAACAAGATAGCAAAATATACATTGTCAGATTTCTTCAAGACCTATAGTAACCCTTCAATCAAACCTAAGATAATTAACACCAATCTAAAAACATCAACTGCCTGATTTCAACCTTCATCAGCAGAAATCTCAAAGGCCAAAGGCTCCATCCTTCCATCTATTACCCAATAAGTATGATGTTCCCACTCGAATCTTGATGATGACATCTTAATCCTCAACTCTCTTATTCATTGCAGAACACAAATACCCACAGTAAGGAATAATTTTATTCAGTATAGATCTCTAAGATGAAGTGCATCTTCCATCCAACATTCATCTCATCAAAATTACCGAACTAAGCTCCACCCAAACAGCTATAAATAACCCTTGAAGAAGGAAGGTAAAGATTCATTCCAAAACTTCGTCATTTGGAGAAAGCTTTATTAAAGCATCCTTAGCTTTAAGCATTCTTACTGACTTAGGTATCAAATTGTCTTCTTAAGGAAACATTGTTGGGAAATTTTTATTTGTGGACACATATTTATACATATAAATTAAGTATTATACATTAGTTGCTTTCTAAAATTAAGCCAATTAAATTCGTGATTTATTTAAGAATTAAATTATTATTTAGCTTATGTGCATCTCATTTGTATAAAATTAAATATTATATAAAGGCTAAGTATTTATTTTATTTTAATAATGAGCTGAAATAAAATAAATATAATTAAAGTATAAAAGAGTCGTGATCTCCAGTTTAAGTGGTTATGTTTCATTTCCTTCATTTCTGAGTGAAAAGAAGAGGTCTCTCATTCTTTTAGAGAACACCACTTCAAACATGATTCTTTAGGTAATTCCCCCCACCATCTATTTTTTACTCTTTATTACAGGGATCTTTACGCAATTGCCCCCCTCTAAAAAATTTAAAATACTATAATCTTTATGCAATTGTCCTCCTAGAAGAATTAAACACATTGTGTAGAGATGTTATTGTTAGGGAACGATGAACCAAACAAAAACGGAGAACGGCTTCACTGTAGAGAAGAGACGGAGTACAAAACGACTTACAAATCCTAAGCCCTTTACAACATATTTATATGGAAAAAATACCCTTATAGCAAAGATTTATTCCTGCTTGGTGGCGCTTCCCTCTTGGACCCCCGACATATCTACGAAGCATACGACGGTCAAGTACATGAACAAACGAGAGTCGAGCCAAATTCAAGGCAACACCAACAATTATTTATAAGTTTTCCCCCCTAAGAACTAATGTTGGTTCCGCCCCAGTCGATATTGATGCACTATGAAATCATAACTAACTAATGCTCTTTGATTAAAGTTTCACCAAATTAATTTATAAAACATAATTAATTTTCTCATGAAATGGTGGATTCAGTGATTCATTTCCAAAGAATTTGCTTTTCCAAACGTCGCATACATTGGATTAATTTTCAAATGTAATTTAGAATTGAAATTGTTGGATGATATTTCGGTTACAACGTGCAGTTATGTTACTATAGCATCATTAATTTAATTAATGTAATTATAACTATCGAATTATAATTGTTAAAGTTTATGAAAAATAAATGGGCTTTTGAATATAATTATGGGCCTAAAATTTGCTTTGCAAGTTTTAGAGAAATGTTCGAGTGCAATAAATTTTTAAAAGTTGTACCAATAGTAAATTACTAAATTATTCATTAATTCAAAATTAAATTAAATTGAAATAATATATCACCAAAGTGACATCTATTAAATCCATCTATTTAATTTTAAAATTAATTAAACAATGCTAAAGATTTATACAAATCTTTACCAAAAATTATCGGCCCAAGGAAAGATTATTTTTTTGGTCGGACTCTAGAGATGTAATGATAAATATGTGATGATTTTAGAATTATTCATGCATATAGTAAGCTGGTCCAAAAAAAGCTTATTATTGATAAAATTTATTATCAATATTTATTGATTACAATTTTTAGAGTGTCGTTTACAAATTGTAATTTTTTATCGAAGATAAAATTATAATACTGTGTTAGGCATCTTATAAAGGGCCCACCTTATATTATTATATATAGTTAATAATTTTCATATCATTTATGTGTATAGATATGACATTTTTATTAATTATGACCTTATTTGTTCTTTTTTTGTTAATAGTTCTTCAATATATGTCAATTTAAATAACATTTCAGCGTTTAATAGCTCTAATTTTATGAAATGAAAAGAGCATATTACTATTTTTCTTGGATGTATGGATCTAGACTATGCGATTCGGACTGAATGCCCTCCTGCTCCTTACCGCATAAAGCACTTTTAAACAAAGGGAAAAAATTAAAAAGTTGAAGCGTTCAAACCATATGAGCACTTTTGACACTGATTTGCATACAAACAACAAAGCCTCTTGTAAATACAAGCTGTGCAACACACAATGAATGTGAACACCTACTAGCAATAATGGGAGATTCGTCGTTTGTACAGTAATTCACCTACGATTGATGATCAACAACAGGCAGTGGATGCTACAACACTTGGAATCAACCACCATTCAATGATCGTCAAATACAGTGATCCCTCGCAACCAAAAGATGGTTGATATGCAACAAATGCAAGCACCCTCAATCTCCAGAAGCATCCAATCTACTGTCGAATTGGGACCTTACTCTGCCTTCAAGCTTAAAATGAAACGCTGCATTATTCGAATGGAGAAATGCTACATTATAAAGAACAAATATATGAGAGTCAAGCTTTTCAACCTAATGTCTTATATGTGCATCGTAAATGCATGGAATGAGCTACCCAAGTATATTATTATGATTAGAAGGTTGTGAATTTGGAGAGTGAACTTTCATGTTCTCCAAGACTAGGTGTTGTAGTCGTATTGAGGGGAGCTTCTCTCGGTTGCTATGTCAAGGGATATAGGAGAAGCTTCCATGTTCCATGTGCATGCCAGATACTAGAATGTTATTGGGATACTGAAAACTATATTCTGTTATGTCCTGTTCATGCATCGAGGATATTACTTTGTTACAAATCTAAGACCAACAGATGTAATGGTGCATCAGTCAAGCCTTTGAATTTATTAGATTATGATACATCATCTATCACAAGAAGACCTCGTACAATTTAGATGTCCTAATCTAGTCTAAGCAAAGATCAGATAGTTTGTGGATCTGATCTCTCTAAGGTCAAGAAGAGTATTACAAGAAAAGCTCGAAACTACTGAGGCTTCAATTCTTAAGGTAGAAACTAATATTTGTGATACATTATTCTTTAATGCCATTGCTGCCAATGAACTGCAAATGCCTTGTGAAAATACGTTGTTAGAACATGCCATCGGATTCGCAACACTCGTATAAGCTGACATAAGGTATTTACAAGCTTCCAAATATAATATTGTGAATACTCAAATGACAATCATTTGCACAGCTCACTAGTGTCAAATACTTTAAAATGCTCCCCCACATGCATTATAATAGGCCGAATACATCATTCAAGCATGTCATTCAGCTGTAGTAGTGCATCCCATTAATATGCAAATATGTAATGTACACCTGCTGCATTGCATATATATAACTACTATACAAAAATAATATGTGAAATACATGTAAAGGTATATACCTACATGGGCCCGAACGAGTGTGATGTATGCATATACATGACGTTTGAGGATGTTGCGCTGGTCAAGAATTTAAATTCGAGCCCGACCATTCTATGTAAATAGATAGGAGTCGACATGACTCGAACTATGAAACAAATATATGATCGCTACATCGACATGGATATTTGTTTTATATGTTCATACTAGGCCTCCAAGGTCGATAACAAAGAAAATTCACTAATAAAGACATAAAGCCGGTGAAGAACTCAATCCTCTATTGAAAAATAGGTCGAATCGACAAAGTTAAACTAACAAAATGAAATTGCCCATAAGTACCCCAATGATGGCCGTATAGACAAAAAATCTCAACTAAAGGGGACCTCAAATATTTGAAAATGTCTCCCAAATTTTCATGAAAATTCGAAATTCCAAAAATACCAAAACCTAAAATATTTAAAATTGAAATAAAATATCAAATACTTAAAGCAAAATATGCATCCACTCATCACAATAGTTTGCTGAGGTATATAATTAAAAATTACTTCAGCTCACAAAGAGCAAATGTCTAGTAGAAAATATCAATCAGATTTATTCTCAAATCATCTCTTGTCAGTAAGGATGTGGCACATATCCTCTAATCGATGGTTTCGTGGCCAAATAGTACCACTAGTAAACGGTTATGATCGGAACCCTCTAACTAGGTGGTTATGCCTCCAATTGACACTATTAAATTACGATCATGATCAGGGCCTGCATGTTCCCCAACATAAGTAAATCATTGAGTAATAAATTAATAAGATAAGACTGATAGGGCACAAAGCCTTCTGTTAGCTAAGGTGACTTCAAATTTGTCCCATTAGACAAGCATTCACCCTGGGTCTACAAGGTACCCTTGGACGAAGCAATCAATGGTTGCCGACAGGGATCCTTTTGTCAGGTTGGGTTGACTACCTCCTCTGATTAAGTAGACTGAGGAGCATAATGATCCGAGACGACGGAACCATAAGATCTTGATCGGGTCTATCATCATTCCCCCTAACATCTGTTTTAAGTGCAAGGTTGTGAATTTCTAATTTTAAATGTTAAGTTTTAAATACCAAACTCTGTTGCTACTATACACCGAATACTATGTATCTGTTTGACGACTAGCTTTAATCAAAAGTTCTCTCTCGCTATCGGGAGGGGTAATTAACTATAGGGGCTTGCGCCTATAGGATGAACTAAGATCATAAAGTCCTCATAAAATGATGGCAAAATCTCTGGGTAATGTCATATTCAAAACTCAATCTGCCTTTTGAAAATTCGCCTAAAAACTTGTTAAAATTTCTCATCGATGACCCGAAAAAGAGAAAGGTGTCATGGAGAGGCCGGAGCTCGAATTTTCGGAGCCCACATTTGAAAATGAAGACATCTAAATGGTATTTCGAGCTTTTTTAAAAATAACTTGATTTATTTTCAAAAATAAAATTTTAAAATAATATAAAACACATATAAAATAATTTAATAAAATTTTAAAAATAAAAAACATAATATCAAAACATGCACTTATCAATTACATTAGAACCAAACACCAAGTGTGAAATCATGAAGTAAAATGCATTTGCATTCCCCCCAATTCCTTCAAACCAACCAAGTTGGCACCCTAAAAAAACAAGAAAAAAGAAAGGAGAACCATAAAGATGCTGAAGGAAATTCTGTTTTGGAGGAGGGAAATCACCGAGGACCTAAGTCAAGCCTAATAAGCTTCTTTATTCTCATGTGTATCTCAATAGAAATATCATAAATACAAACTCAGGGACCAGAATGCTTACCTCCGAATCAGAATCCATGTAAAGAATCTCCCGCACACCACCAGGCACGATGACACAACTGTACCCAGCTCCCAAATACTTGTAAAAATTCCTCCTTGAGGCTGGAACCATACCCAACCACGTCCATATATGCCTTAAAAATGGTATATAGAACAGCTGGAAAGAGAATATATGGCAAGAACATATAAAACAATAAAAGTTAGAATATGTCAAAAAAGGTAAATCACACAGTAAATTAAGCTAACATAAAATCCATCTTCAAGAAAAAATAATGATAACTTTCACTCATACAAAATGGAAGAAACCTTACAGAACTGCCAGCAAGAACTTTGATCTTAGGAAGCGGAAATAAGCCAGCATCTTGAGAAAAAGCACAAAAGCCAATCGCCATCACTGAATGAGGCTCATAACCGAAAACTGCAATGAATCATTCCATTAGTTCTCCCAATGCGTGTGCTTGTGCATGTGTGTGTGTGCGCGTGAGAGAGAGAGAGAGAGATAAATATGTTTTTTAAATTTTTATAAAAATATAAAATTGTTTGTTAGTAAGATAAGGACTACTAATTCTAGCATACATGTGCTAGAGCGCCACCAGTAGTCATAAAATTTTGATTCCAGCAAGCATGCTAATTTCATTATTTTTGTTTACATAATAGAATAAACCGTTATTTTATCTGCAATTTTACTCTTTTTTTTTCTGTCAGTTCACAAAAGACCAAATTATAGGAAGCTTTATACAAATAACGCAAAGACAAATTTAAACCCACCATATGCTTGGTTCGGATCAAAATCACTTGTGTCCTCCACATGGACAGTGACAGGAAAATACCCAAGGGCGTATTTGCAGATAAATCTGAAACCCCATTATAAAATCATCAAAAAGTTGAAATATTTACTTGAATCCCTAGTTGAGGAAAGTGAAGAACAGCAAAAAAAGAAAACCTTGACAAATTTCGCCCCCATTTGCTCTTATGGTTTAGGGGAATCACCAAGAACAATAACTGCAGCGCTAAGACTCTGCAAAAGTAGAGGTAAGAATTAGAGCGAATACAACGGGAGGAAAATAAGAGGAGACTAGCTGCGACGAACCCGGCGGCGTAGCGGAAGGGGAGGAGAAGGAGCGAGGCGATGATGAGGAAGGCATTGAAGTAAATGCCGCCGAGCCAGAGTGCGAGGGCCACTGTCGAGCTAATGGGCGAGTACTCAGTTGCTCTGAACACAGCCGAAGCCATCGAAGAAGGCAGCAGCAGAGAGAGAGAGAGAGAGAGAGAGAGAGAGAGATTAGAATAAAGCAAGACTAACAGTTGGTGGTTGACGAATTAATACTCCATGGCATTTGAGTATCTGAGAGCTTGACGTAATAAATTAAGGTGAAAGATTAGGTGAGCAGCTCATGTTTGATTACCAAAAAAAAAAAACAATGAAGCATAATCTCTTATATATTAAATTTTGTACTAAGATAAAAATAAGAAAAGAATTTTATGTTGAAAAATATGATGATCAGCTAATTTACATGTGAATTATTTTAAAATTATTGCTATTATTCTTAAATCAAAATTGTATTTCAACAATCTAAATTTCATTTAATTTTTTTTTAGAAAATTATTGAGTGGATTTAGGGATTATTTGGTCGGTTGAAAAATGAATGCAATATAAAAGAATACTTTAGAATTTAAAGTTGTTTAGAGGAGTGTAAAAGAAATGCATATGATTTTTTTTTTTTTTTGAGGTAAAATGAATCCAATGTAAAGTTCAAATAGGGGTGATAGTTGGTGGGCGACACTGACGATGATGGACATCAATGATCGTCGAAGACGACAAAGGTGGTGGCTTGCGGCGGGTTACGAAAAGCGATGAACAGAGGTGAGGGGTGGCTGATGGTGAGCACGTCACCAGCGACTAGCAGCAAGGGGTGTCAATTGAGATGGCCATGGCCAGTAAGCGACAGCGGTGGTGGCGGGTGGTCGATGGGTGGGACGATGGCGGTGTCCAGCAAGCGATTGCGATGGTTGCTATTAGGGGATAGCGTGTGCACAAACAGTAGGCCGCAGTTGGTGAAGAGTTGATGACGGTGGCTGACATCAACAGGGGGCGAGTGGCGATAAAGAACACTTTGTTCTGGTATAAAAAAATTCGCTAAAAACTAAACGATTTATTTTATCCAAAAAATAAACAAGAATACTTTATAATACACTTGATTTATTTTAGTTGACATTCATGTTTCATCTAACCAAACAATAATATTCTCAAATTCCTTACAAAATTAATATTTTACACGCACTTTACTTCCAACTATAATATTTTACACCTATTTTTCTTCCAACCAAATAGCAACAATTAAATCATGAGCTATAAATGAGTAAAAGCTCAAGCTAGTGTCATGTGATAGTATTAACTGATCATTTATGTAAGTGATCTGTATATTATACAGAAAAACACCTCCCTTATATATATTTATATATTAAGATTTTATGTAATTTTTTATTTGATGGATAATATTAACTATTAATATTTATATTATTTTTAAATTTTGAGAAGTGTATTTATATTTATAATGTCTAAGAAGGACTGCTCTATGATTTGTGTTTATTAAAAAAGACTATAAACCCAATACATTTTAATGGCATGGAAGGTCTGCCTATAAATGGTCATAAATCTTGAAACCATTGGCATGTGTATTCATTATTGTTGATAAGAACAGAAATATTTTTGATATAATTTTATATAAGAATATAAATACACTTCTCAAGTTTTAAAAAGAGGCCCATTTTTTTAATTTATTTTAGATATTATAAACTCTATAATTGTAAAGAATTTTAGAGTTCAGATATACTCTCAAAATTTCATCTAAGATTTCGTTTGTGATGATAGCTTTTAACACTTTTTTAATTGTTTAAAAAAAATTATACTAAAAAGCTGTTGTAGAAAGCAGTAAAAAAAATATTAGAAATGAAGCCTAAGAATAAGAGTGTATCATTTGTATCTAATTGAGTGTTCCATTGAACTCAAATTGCCACTATGATAAGGACGATGACTTCGTTTGAGACAATTTTCTTATTGATTCCTAAGACATCTATCTAGTATACAAATTTTCAATTTAATAAGTTTTTGTGCTAAAAAAACTGCTTTAAAAAATAATAAGAAAACTCTCCCAAACGAAATCTATGTCAACTAACTTCAGCATTCCGCCAATTTAAGTCATTCAAGTCTCCCTTCAAATGAATAGCCCAATTACACAACTCACCTAGCTATCAATTCAAATATTTAGATTGAACAATGGATGGGCATGGTACTTCCCAAAAAAGGGAAGGGGAGGGGTAGGGGTGTTTTTGAAATCGGGTCGGGTTCAACCCGGATTTTCCGGGTCGGGTTTTCGTGTCGTGTCAAATATTGACACCCCTAGGGAGGGGGTGTTACAAAAATAACACTCATAATTTTTTTTATTTATATATTTAACACATAAACTTTCCTATTTATATAACATAGCACATATATATTATAGTCCTAAAAAAAATCTAGTTAACAAAATCATGATGGATCTCACCTTCGACAAGGGAGTCACCACCTGATCTTGTTGGAAAAGACATCGAATAAAGCAACGTGTGAAAAAGAGGAATTTATGATACTTGTAGATTTATCGAAAAAAAATGAGAAATAAGATTTAAGATTAGGTAGGATTTGAAATTGTCATTTTTAATGTATCGAAAGGTTTTGGTTAAATCCTCAAATTTTGCTCATGGATAACATCGTCAATGGGACTTAGATCTAGGATGGTGTAGTCGTGATAATCTTAATGGCATGAAGCTTTTACAATCATAAGTGTTATTTTATTGCTATTGAAAGTTTAAGTAATATGTGAGTAAATAGTGATAGAGAGAGAGAGAGAGAGAGAGAGAATTCTATATATGAAGCCTTTGGTCTAAGTTTGAGTACAGAGATCCCTACAAAGTGGAGGACCAAAAAGCTATAGAGAAAACACATCTCTAAGATTTCGTTTGAGACCACTTTTTTATTGCTTCTTAAATAAAATTTTAGTAAAAAGTTATAATTTTTTTAACTAAAATTATCTTAAAAATCAATAAAGTTTGAAATAAATTTTGAATATTTCGTTTGAGCAAACAAATCATACTCATAATCATCAAATTATTAAGATTTTATTTAGGATAATTTTTTTATTACTTTTTAAAATAATTTTTTAACGCAATTTTTTGAACTAAAATTTTTTTAATTAAAGAACTGCTTATGAAGCCATAAAAAAGCATCCCCAAGCAAAGCCTAAGATTCTCTACCTAATCTAGTTAAAGAGTTGATCTGCATTCTGCTTTTTTTCTTAGAAGCTAAGAAAGTTTAAGAAAAAAATTGAACATACAATATCTACCTCCAACTGTCATAGAGACTTTATTCAAAATCACAGAAATTATCAAATCCATATGACTGAACATAAAGAGATTCCTCACAAAAAATTCTTTAAGAATTCTTTGTTTGATTTCTGTTGTTGAGCAACAACCACTTACATACCACATCACCCGATACACAACAGTACCGAGCATCAGTACCTAACAAAAAAAATGATGTGACACATTCTGATTGATCTCCGGACGCTGTCCGGAATCCGCAAATTTTCTACCAACAGTGTGAAAAATGCATTTTCTCAAACAAGAAGAGGCTGAACAAACCTCATGATTGAAATTAGATAGAATTGAATTCTAATTCTTCAACCCTAAACCCTAAAATAAATTATAAAGTACATAAATATCAATGCAACTCATTCAAATACACACTTTTAAAAAAGAGATTCAGCACACCCAAACACTTGAAAATCCTTAAGTATAGCCATATATTTACATCAATGGCTGAGAATTCTGCTCTGCACAAATCATACACAGAATTTTCAGCTTTTTTCCCATAAAAACTAAAGATTCTCCAGCTAGAGATTCTTCCACATCAAATCACATAGCAATTGAGGGGGGGCGGAGAGTTGAGATTGGAAAAAAAAAAATTACTGCAGTGCTAAACCATGCAAGTAGAATGAAATGTTAGAAGCCACTTAACCTGGCAGATTAAAGATACATATGAACCAGACATTCCTCCTCAATATTCAAACACATCCTATGCAGCCAGGTAAGTTTGTAAGCTAATTGGAAGTTTGATTCAGAGAGCTAAAGAAAAAAAAATAAAGAAAGTAAACGTTTTTATGGAGTTTAACATAGACAAAAAAAAAAACCCTTCATCCCTCCATAAACAATTTTATTTCTCTTGAAAAAAATAGAAAATAAAAAAAGGAATTCTTAATAATAAACTTCTAATATTACTCGCACACATAAACATACAATCCCATTCCCAACCTATCTTCCCTCTAATGCATGCAGCAGGCTGCCAAAAGTTGATAAAATTTTATTTTAGCCCTCTATAGAGAGAGGCCGCCATAATGACTGGCGTTTACTTTGATGGAAAAACATAGGGGTGTCAATTTCGGGTCACGGGTCAAGCTCAGGTAGAACCCGAAACTGACTCGGCACCATTCGGTTGAACCCGAACCAGGCTCATTTTTACAAATAGGTCAATTTTTCAGACCTGAACCCAACCCGCGGACATGGCAACGCAGTGGCGCGGCATCTGCGGGCTGGCGGTAGCGGCAACCGGCGGCGTCGTCTCGACTCGCACATAGTGGGAAGGCGGGAAAGCACGACGGGCAGACCGATGTGACACGAGGGATCAATAGGGATGCAACACGACGCGGGAGTCACCATCGGGATGCAACGCGGGCAGCTGCGGTTAGGCGGGTCAGCGAGGGTAGCGGGTCAATCCGTGTCATTTCCGGGTTTCCAGGTCAGCCCGAACCCGGCCCGATTTTTGAAACGGGTCAATTGTTGAACCCAAATCCGACCTATTTCTCATACGAGTTGACCATAACCCGAAATTTTCGGGTCGGATTCGAGTCGAGTTTTCTAGTCATATTAACTTTCGACACTCCTAGCAAAACATATACTTGAAATGCTTGGATAAATCAAATATGTATTATTATAGTAAACAAAGAAACTAACTTAATACATGAAAATAAAATAACTACCACATTTGATTGCAATTCACCAAAATATGAGGAACATGAGAAATGAAACGAATAGAAGATGATTAAGTTAGATGCGAAGTTTTTACTGTGGTTACTAAGTTTAAACTAAAGATAATCGACAAAGAAAGTAAACTTGATTTATGGATATGAACATTCAATTATATTAAAAAGGGCATTGCAGGCAAATTAAATAAATTTGCACCATTTCAAATCTCTTACACTAATGGAATTTAGTAGCATCATCCTCAAGCATATAACTATCTTAAAAAAATAATTTTGGAAGCAAGAAATAGAAAACTTTCAACAGAATATTAGAGCACGTTAAATTATACTAACTGCAGAACTAAATCAAAACAAGATAACTAAATCATTTAAAATTTGCTCTTCAAATTCACTCTCAATATGGATGATGGAACTCAATTGCCAACAAATTCCTTCACCTTCTTTAACCATGTCAGATATTCCCTTTCATCTTTATTCATCATGTATTCATGCAAAAAATCACGGAGAGAACTATCAATGCCTCTTACTTTCAAATATTTGTGAAAAGCCTTTTGCAACCTCTCGTCCAATTCTCTGCAGGCACATAGTGAAAATGAAGTTACTGAGATCCCTTTGTCAGGAGAAGCGTAAAGACTAAAAAATGAAGCGAAGTCATTGATGCTTAGCTTCTTTATATCACTCTTTTGATTGAACGTAAAACAAATTCAAAGAATAAAAGGGGCATTGTGACAAAATTCTATCAAAAAGAATTACTTCAGGCAAAAGTAAGTGCATGAGAGTAACAAACACGAGAAAAATAAGTCAAAAATTAAAAGAAAATTATTCAGAAAAAAGGGGGGATTTATGTGATTCCGCAAATATTCACCTATGTACATAATCGCACATCACTAGATTAGAAATTATGAATTCTCAAAGTTTGTATTCAGCTAAGGATATACCTTCAAAGTAACGATTTTGAAATTATGATTTAACTGAAGAAATTCATTGTATCTAAAAACATCGAGTAATATGAATAATTGAATATAAAAAAATATATAAAAAAAAAAATTAATATTACCAAAAATCAAGACTCCAAAGTTTCACACTAAAAAATTTTGGGAGAAGCGTGTATATAATTATTTAAATTCTAGGTTACAAATAATTTTTTAATAAAAAAAGTATTAATAATTCTAGTCTATAATGATCCTAAATTAAAACTAGAATTATTAATAGTTTTTTTTTTATTAAAGAAATATTTAATAAAATTAAAAAAATATATATTATTATTTGAAAATTATATTTAATAAATAATTTAATTATAAAATGACTAAAAAATCTCTTGATTTTCCTGCTGTTTTGCTGCTGTGGACAGCAGTTGGCTGCTGTATATTTACTGGTTTGGGTTAGAAATACTTGAGAACCCAAGTATTTCCTATCACATTTCCAAAACATAGCATTTGAAAGGGAAATTATGCAGATGCAAATAACTCTAGCCTACATTTTCCAGATCTTTATATTGTTTTCTAAGCCAAAGGAAAAAATAAAAAGTAATAGAAAGAAAACTCACGAAAATTCAGGTCCTTGGTAAGCTCCCTGGCCATCAGAATCATGGGTACTTTTCATTATCATGCTTTCAATTTCAAGATCAGCTGAACTGATATTGCAACCAATTTCCAAGACAGGACCCTCCCCTTTATCTATAGCAACAAGAAGAGAAATGTTTTGCTCAGCAGCACTCTCCTGATCATCCTCGCTATCATCTTCATCATCCTTGCTCATTTCTTCCCCATCAACATTCATATATACTGTAGCCTGGATGTTCTCACCAGCAAATTCACGCTTAAGAATGATTGTTTGATCGCCGGATTTATCAATGATTTCAAAGGGAAAATCTTCTGGAGCATCGACTTCCTGCAAGTCGCCAGGTTCAGCTTTATATATATATTGAATATGTACCATACAGATTTAGGAACAGAAAAGTGCACAAAACACTACCAAGTGTGATTTTGGTAACAGCTTGTGGAATCAATCATGTATGAAAATGCATTGCACGATGGGAGGTGGTTAATTTACTTAATTATACCATCCAATTACTATGTAAATTGGAAGAACCTAAATCTGTTAAATAAGACTCTTGATACAATAACCCAAGAAACATTTATAATTCAGTTAAGAAATACATCATAACATTCAGATATGAAATACTATCATCATCATCACCATTATGCTAATTCCAACTATTTGGTTTCAGTGTTATGAATGAATCCACATTATGCACTCATCTCATTGAGTGCACATAAGATGTTAAATATATTCTACAATTAACAAAAAATTTACTTAACCTATATACATGTTATATTTGAACTAACCACCTCCTCAACTGTTTAGCATTAACTTCAACAAACTATTTTATTAGTGCATTTATACAGCACATTGCACGAGCCCAACCCTATTAGGGTATTTCAACTATCTTATCTTTAATGTACATTACTCCCACAATCCTACTAAAATAATAATTTCTCATTCTATTCCTATTAAGCTTTGTCAAACAAGCATCTATTATAGCTAATGATGGTTTGCCTATGATGTATCGATACTTCTTCTTAAAGAGGTCAACATTTGCTCATGATCTCATCTTTGCAACACTTAACTTAATTTTATGCTTTTCTTTTAATGGTCAACATTCTGTACCATAAAGCATTGAAGGTCTAACCACCATCTTGTAGAATTTTCCCTTGAGTTTGAGAGAGACTTTTCTATCACAAAACAAGCCCAATGCATTCCTCCACTTCAACCATCCAACTTGAATTCTACTAATAATATCCCCATCTATTTCACCATCACCCTGAACAATAGACCTAAGGTATCTAAAGCGTGTACTCTTATCAATGACTGGATCACCCAAAGTCACAATCCATCACTAGAACTACTATTACTAAAATTACATTTCATGTATTCAGTTTTAAATCTACTCAAATGAAAGCCTTTAGACTCCAAGATTGACCTCCAAAATTCAAGTTTATTTTCAACTCCCTCTCTAGTCTTATCAACAAGAAGAATATCATCAGCAAAAAGCATAAACCAGGTTACAAACTCTTGCAAATGTCTAGTGAGAATATCCATTACTAAAGCAAAAAGATATGGGTTTAAGGCTGATCCTTGATGTAATCCAACTGAAATAGGAAAATACTTGGTCAAACCACCTTGTGTCTAGACACAAGTAACAACTCTTGCATATATATCCTTAATGACTTGAATATAAGCATTATTAACCCTTTTCTTTTTCTAGAACTCTCCATAGCATCTCTCTTGGGACTTTATCATATACTTTCTCTAAATCAATAAATATCATATGTAGATCCTCCTTATCCTCCCTATACTTCGCCATCAGACCTCTCAATAAATGTATAGCTTCCATAGTAGACCTACCCGGCATGAATCCAAACATATAATATAATTGTAATATTAAAATATATTTCATTAAGGCGATTTATACATGGTCAAAGCCTAACATATTGTTTGCCTATAGAGTTCTAACTTTCTACTTCCAATCTTTCTCTACAAGCAGATTAATTCTAATGCCAGACTAGTCAAGGTTGGCATTGGCCCCAAGTGACCCTATGTATAAATCCCCATCATCTGCCCAACCACACCCGATTCCACAAACGTCCAGATGGAAGGGAACCCATCTCAAGAATCTCTGGTTAATATCATTTGAATCTAGTATTCGAACTTTCTACTTTCAATTTTCCTCCATAAATAGATTGATTCCAATGCCATAACAGTCAAAGTTGTCCCAAAGAGGCCAAGGCTACGAAGAATTTATGAACTACCAGCAATTCAAGTAACGGCAGGAAAGCCAAACACGAATCAACATAACTCTATCAAAAAAACAAAAAACAACAGAGAATGCTATTTTCCTTTTTTTGCAGAGGCACATGAAACCTTGAATCGAACAAAACAAAAGCATACATTTTATGAAGTTTAATTTCAATAAGAAGCGGCATATTCACGAGATTCAACGAAAGAATGTAAATTAAAAATGAGACCAGATAAAAATTCCAATTTTTACACGATCCAGGCCCCAGGGACAACTAGAAAAGTCAATTAGACAAAAAGAAATCAAGGCAAGGATGCCCTTCAGTGCAACTTACCCGGCCGTGCTCGTCAGTTTCCTGGGCGCATTCGATCTCCGACTGGAGAACATTCCCAAGGTTCTCATCAGCTTCCACCTTAGTCGAAGCGAAACGAAAAGAAAATAAGGCTGGAGGCTTCGTAAGTGTTAGGCATTGAATCGGAAATTTTCTGATCAGCGTAGCAGAAGGAGAAGTAGACGCCATAGAAGAGTAGAAAAACTCATGGAAGTGCCGAACAAAGATAGCAGAGTAGAGCGGGAGGCGGGCAGTTCTGCGTCTTAGGGAATTGGCGATGGAGGAAGCCATTTCCACCGTGGTGAAAATGCTTTTGTTCGAGTCACTATACGAACAGCAATATATTCGACCGCTTCTCAAAGCGAAGCTCTGCTAGGGTTTAAGAAGAGGAGGGACTGTTGCCACAGCAGGCAGGGTTTTAGGCATAAGGGACAAGAGGGCAAACTCGTCCGAGCTCAAGGAAAGATTAGGTTTTTTTTTAAAAAAATTTATTTTTATTTTTATTTTTTTATTTGCTTTGAATAAATATTATAGAGAGTGTAAGAATATTTTTTAAGATCATAACAAGCCACAACAATGATATAAAATTATATGAAATTAAAATTACAAAATAACAAATTTGTTGGGATCATAAAATTTCAATTGATCTTAACACTCTCAAAAGATAAATCAGTACATTAAAATTTTATCTCATAAATTAAATTAACTTTCAATCATACAATTTTATGATCAAAATAACTATCTCAACCAAATAATTTCAATGATATTATATTCATTTGAACTTAGCTCATTTATGACATGAAATGGTTAAATTTATTTGAATTTGCCTAAGGGATGAACTCGCCCTTTCCTTTTCCCTTGTTGAGAAGAATATCAATGACTTGATAAAACACACAAAAGATAATGACTTGAAAGTTTAGAAGTTAGAAGCAATCTATTGAGAGAATTAATGTGTTATGAAGAGGAACTTTAACTATTGAGAGAAATTTATCAAAATTAATAAAGAGTAGCTCTAAAAAAGAAAAACTTTGGCTTATAATTATAACATTAACAAAGAGTAGCTCTAAAAATGATAATCATTCTTGACCTCGTATACTTAAAAGAAGAAATAATAGGTAAGTCAGAGATGTTGACACCATGAGGAGAAACTTTCAACCAAAATGTTGATCAAGTTATGCTTCCTCAACTACAAATGACTACATTGATGTAGAAGTTGAGAAAACATATCCTTATGGCATCTTACAAATCTAATTGCAAAAAAAAATTAATCTCTTGTGAAGATCTCATTATCACACTATTAATAAAGCAGAAGTTATTATAGGCCAGAATGTGACTTGGGCTTCGTTTGGGATAGGTCTTTTACTGATTTGTAAAACCATTGTAGAGAAAATGAATTTTTAAAGTTATTGTTGAAAGCAACTTTTTAGTACTTTTTTTTAAATAGTAAAAAAACAGTGATCAAATATAAATTATGATTACAGTCTGAAAAACAGAACAGTGAGAAAGTTGTCTCAAACTAAGCCTTAAAAGATAAAGACGCCAAAATCTAAATCTGCACCTTTGATGGAAAAAAATTATCTAAAGAGAAATATTTATTATGAACATATTCAACTTATGAAATGTCAACTCATGTATCGTGTGGCTCATTGAATGTAACTACACAATGAGATCGTTAGTACATAACTCTCGCACATTTCACAAAGGAGTCCAAACCATCTCAGATATTGCGCTATTATGAGGAACAAACATCATGACATCATTTTAATTGTCATCCATCAAACTTTCACATTCTAAGACTAACATTTACATAATCTCAACAATCAAGTATTCTATAAATGGAAATTCACACATATGTCTAAGAGCTTTTTTAAACTAGTTTTACTTTTCTTTAAGGAACTCATTTCTTTAAGAATATCTCTAATTTTCTTATATGTATTTAGCTTTCTCTACAAGTAATAAAATAATAGTAGCTCATCATAAGTGAATATTAGTCACAAGATTGAACAATATTAAATTCTTTATTTTTTATTTTTCAATTGTATGCATTCTCATAATTTTGCTTATCCATTGTGAAAAACAAAACTTGATTATACCCATCATGGCAAAGAGTGATTCTATCTCAAAAGAAAATGATGTGTTTCACATATAAGTTTAGAAAAAACAAGCAATCAATTATGAACAAAATTATTTTATGAAGAGACAAAGTTTTAAGTGAGAGATAAAATAAGAAAGATAATATATATGGAATTTTAAGGTGATTCAGTCCAATAAAATTGTTATTATTGTAATTTTGTTATTATATTTTTATCAATGTTAAGCAAGAATTATAAGATGTTAAAAGCATGTATAATCAAGATTTTATAGAAAACTTAGTGCTAAGGTGAAAGTTTAAGAGCTCAAAAGTTCATATTTGAAAGAAGATCCTTGCCATGAGAATTTTTATGATTTTTTTTTTTTTTTGCTAAGAAGAATTATTTTTCTTTAAGATTGTGCTTGTGAGCAAAGAAGCTTAAATCAAATGAGGCACTCATAGACTCTTCACATTATATAATTGCATAGAAAATCATAAAAAATATTAATAGAAATATCATATTCTGATAATGTTGAAAATGTTATCCATGACACAATGATGAAGGTGATGACTCATCTCTAGCATAAAAAATGATAAGTGCCTCTACTAATCATACTATCAAAGTACATGATGAATATCCCATTCAAATGGAGGATGAAAAAGATAGTTCTTTCAAATATTAAGAATAAATAATAAAAGAGAAAATGGCTTTGGAAAAAAGAATATAAGAAATTGGGAGACTTTAGCATCAATTTTGATGAATTAAGGAGAAGCTCTACTTCATATTGACAAGATAGCGCAAAAATCAACCCCTTTATTTCTAATCTCTTGCTCATACTCGTGAAGAACTTTCTCCCCCCAATTTTTGGGGATATTATCCTTGCTCTCATGGTTCGTAACATGAATGAGCAACTCAACATTTTGATGATCAAGATAGAGAAAATGAATAGTGATTGAGAAAGCAATCGAGAAAGTATCCTATTAATGGCTTTTCAGGTTACAAGAAAGACAACTATTGATACTTGACTGTAGTATATTCACCAAGGGTTAATTTTATTATTATTATTTTTAAATTATAAGAAGATAAATTTAATAATAATGAAAAAAAAACTTAATGTCATGCTCATCTTAATTAATTAAACACAAATTTATTTAAACTACATATTATCTTACTAATCTATTTCAACTACTATTCTACCGTATATTTTCATATCTAATTTAGATAAATATATAACTTATTAAATATAAGATGAAGTACAATTATAACTTATACTATTTATTCTTCATATTTTAAAAAAACTAAATGATAACATCATTGTCAATACACTATATAATTTCTTTTTCAATATAAGTGATATTAAGGCATTGTTCATCCACTGATATCCAATTTGACTGCGTAGCCAATTTTTTTATAATAGTCATTGCATAAAAAGTTCTTTCAACTCATGCTGTTGCAACATGTAGTATTAATGTCAGCTTCAATAGCTTAAAAATAAGAGGATATAGTATTTTCTTCATGCTCTAAACTATTTTTTCAGTAAGACTTCATATATCTTTTAACAATGAAAATTGAGCATCAAACCGCATATCCATAATATAAGTTTCTAACTGATTATCAAGAATTATCAAATTGGAAGGAGTGAAATCGCATGGATATAAGTTTGTCATTTCAATTAACTTCTCTTTCTTAAATGTATAGAATAAATTTAATGGATTCAAACAAGTAATACACAAAAGTAGTTGAGCATTAGCCTTTATAAAACGATTATTCAACTTTCGAAGTTGCATATCAAGTACTGTGTAAAATATTTCAACTCAATATTGATGTAAGTTTGTTATTTCTTGAAGTCCACATCGCGGTCTTCTACAGGCAACACATTTATAATTTAAATTGGGGGTTATAATTTTATGCTCAACACAAAAGAATTTCACTTTCTTAATGAATTCATCCCACTTGTTGTCTATCATGTCTTATAATCTAATTTTTTATATTTGAACTAATGACATGACATTCATAATATCATGATATTTTATTTGCAAAACATCTGATATTTTAGTAGTGATTCCAAGTATGTCCTTCATTAAGTGCAGACAAAAGGAGAAGTCAAAAGATTGCAATGAATCTAATAATGTAAATGCCTCTTCTCTTTGTTCAGAGCTCAGGCCATCGTCCAAAACTATTTTGAGCACATTAATAATTGAGGAAAACATTGTAATCAATCTAATCAGTGACTCATAATGTGAACCCCAAGTTTCACCAGCACGCCTTAATGATATTTTTTTTATTTAATCGACGTCCAGTGTATACCTCACCATTATGTAATGCACTTAATATCATCTTGCATTATTTTTCTCTAAGTTGATCACGACATTTGCATGAAACACCAATAATATTCATTACGTTTGAAATTATAGTAAACAACAGTGAAATATGAACTTGATTTTTTGCAACTGCTACTAAAATTAACTGAAGTTGGTGTGAGAAGCAGTGAATATAATGTGCAGATTTTTTCTCATTTAGAAAAAGTGTTTTAAGACCTTTAAAATTTTCTCTCATATTACTAGCTCCATCATAATCTTGACCACGAATTTTTATGTGAGACAAACAATAATTTGATTGAACTTGTTTAACTCCTTTCAAAAATCTAGCTGATGTTTTGGGAACATGTACAATACTAAAAAAACGTTCAATAATTTGACATTTCTCATTCACATATCGTGTAAGGATAGCCATTTGTTCTTTCCCTGATATATCATGAGCTTCATCAACAAGAATAGAGAAGAAACTATCACCGACCTCTTCTTTTATATAGATTATAATTGCACTAGAGATGACTCTATAAATATCTTTTTGAATTTCCAAAACATGAGGCTCTGAGTTTCGTCAGACCACCACCTGAGGCTCTCACTTTTGCCGGACCACCACTTGAGACCCTAACTTTCACCGGACCACTACTTGAGGCCCTGAGCTCCGCCGTACCACCACTTGAAGCTATGAGTTTCGCCGAACTATCACCTGAGGCCCTCACTTCTGTCGGACCACCACTTAAGGCCCAGAGTTATGTCGTACCACCACCTGATGCGCAAATTTTTGCCAGACCACCGAGTGACGCTGGACTATTATCCCTGTTTGCACTAGATTTCAACTTTATAGTTGACATTTGTAATCTGAATGCCCTCAAGAACGAGTCAGCCATCTGTAATCTACTCAAATTCTAGTGGAATCATTTTCAATTGGGCCAGACCACGTGGTTTTTCTCATTTTTAGGGTTTTCTACGTAAAAAATATTGTGTTCTCTGTGCGTAAGCTGGATATCCGTATAACGCGAAGACAAAGAACTCTAACTCTATCGCCACGTATATTCTAGCTCGCAACAACCACTATAATTCTACTCTAATAGAGTTATGTTCAATATATATCATTGCATTTGCCACAAAAATTTAGTTCTTCTCAGACTTTTATAGAATAAAATTTATTTCTTAACTCTCTTATTATGTGATTAGCCGTATGTTTGAATCCTAGAGATGCCAAGACATTGAAGATATATATTCTTTCTTAGTTTTTCAAATACATTAAAGTTATATCAACAAACCTAAATAATTAGATTAAGATTAACTATAATAAGATTAACGGTAATGATGAAGTTGTTAAAAAATAAAAACTAAATAAAATTAAAAAAAAGATAATGATAACAACAGCAACATAAAGCCTTTATCCCACTACGTGGGGTCGGCTATATGAATCCTTTATCTCCATTGTGTCATATTTAAGGTCAAGTTCTCGTTTAAATCTAATAAAGAAAGGTCATTCCTAATATTTTCTAACCAAATCTTTTTAGATCTGCCTCTACCTTTCTTACATAAGTCAAATCTAATACCTCTACTCTCCTAACTGGGTCATTTGAAGGTCGCCGTTTTATGTGACCAAACCATCTAAGGCGACACTCACTAATCTTATCTTCGACTGGAGCTATTCTAACCTTTTCACGTATACGCTCATTTAGTAAGGAAAAAAAAAAGATATAGTAAGAAAAAAAAAAGATAATGATATATAGTAAACGTAAAAAAAAAGATTAAGATTAACTAAAATGATGCATAATTTAAATGGAGTGATTTATTTATCAAATATAAAAGCACAAATAATAGTTTTTTTCTATTAAAGTTCAAAATTTTTATGCATTAAAAAAGTTTAAGAAACTTTTTGCATAATCAATAAAAATCAAATTTAGGGAGCCAATAAATAGATGGGTTCAACATAACACGTTTAGTTCATAAAGATTTAAATATTTATTGCTAAAATTTAATAATTAAATAAATTTCATAAATATTTAAATTGTTTCATTTAACATTAAAAAAAATGAACGGCTCCCAGTCTCCCACCGCCAGATTGATCCTCAAGAGTCGGGCGCTAGATTCTAGAAACTTCCTTCGGACCGAATCTGTCCCCTTCCTCAAGAAATGACTGCCCTCTGCTTGTTAAAGCAATTTAGGGCTTTTCTTTTGTCCACATAGGGTTTTTTCTCAGCTAATAACCATCCCTGCTGCGAGCCGTCAGCCTCGGTGATCAATCTAAACTATTATGGCGATCGTTTCCAGGCTCATCTCTAGCTTGGCAAGATCCAGAACAGCCGCATCCGGTGTTTCATCAGTTCTCCATCGGGTTTGTCTTTCTCGTTTATTATGATTTCATTTTCCGTATGGACAAAATTACGCTTTCAGCGTGTACCTTGTCAAAAAATGTGTTTTTTTTTCTTAATGGGACATGAGTTTTCTGCATCTAATTAAGGATAATAGGTATGGAAGCCCTTACCTGTCTCCTTTGGCCCAAATGGTATTGTCGTTGTTGTGATTCGGATTCTATTGTATTTAATTATTTATCAAGTGTTTTTCCGATCGGTTTTGTATTCGTTGTTTGAAGATAATTCTTGAAGATATCAATTTTGGTTTTACGATACTTGCTATTTTTAATCCAATGGGGAAAAGATTTGTTTTTTTTTTAAATGGAATAATGTCTGAGTATGATTGTTTTAGAACACCCGATCAAATGCACTGTTTGGTTGAAAGTAGGATTTAGACCTTATTAAAGCAGGATTTGAGAAAGATTAGTAAATTCTGATGTTAGAACTGTTTAGTTGCTGAATGCCTAAATTCAACTGAATCTTTAGATTGTTTGGTTTATAATTGGAAACTTTAATAATTTTGAACATATTTAGTAATTCCTGCTGAAGTTAATCTCTTAAATCCCTACTCTACCAGATTGCAATAAATCTTTAATTAGAGCTTAGGTTTATGAAATCTTGCTGGATCCAAAATTATTTTAGGCCAGATTTGAGACATTCTATTAGGCTTTTGTTAAGATTTATGTTAATCCTTTTAAAATCCTACTTCAAATAGAGTATCTAGTTCTACTTCAAGTTGAGAGATGCTGCCAAGGGCATATAATTTTTTTGCTCTTTAGATTCATTGTTCTGTACAAATGGATTCAGAATAGTTCAGCTGCTGTCTTTCTGTTCTGGATCTTAGAACTGGCAAGACATTGATTAATTTACTTTTTACATTGATATTATGCACTATGTAGGTTTTGATTAAGTAGGATAAATTTAACAGATGGGGATGGTTAAACAACTTGTTGAAGGGGTTTTGGAGCAGTGGTGATGAAATGAACAATTAAACTAGGGTGATAGATTGGTGATGAAAGAGTGGCAATAAGCTTCCAAAATGATGCTCAACATGAGCTTACTTGAAAAAGATTTAGAAATTTAACAGATTGGTGTGTTTAAAAAACTTGTTGAAGGGGTTTGGTGATGAGATGAACAATTTAAATATGAAGGCTGATTGGTGATGGAAGAGTGAAAAATAAGCATTGAATGTGACATTCAGGATGGGCTCACCAGAAAAAGTAATCGAACATTTTTTAGGCAAATAAATACTCACTTCTTAAGATCAAATGATCTTAAAACACCTATTTATGTTGGTCCGCATATTTAATGTTTCTTTTGGGTGAAATGGAGTGCCTAAGCACAAACACACACACACATTTATGCTGAGCCTCAAATCCTAGTCCTCATGGTTGAGGCCAAAGCTCTTAACCAAGTAGGCTAATGGAAGGTGAACCAACACATCAAATCCTGTTTTTTCATGTTTTCTTTTATGTGGTAGATGTAGATGCTTAATACATGAACAACTTGCATTCATTGGTTATGCTCTTTTGGTTGAATTCATCTTGGTAAAATAGCGCAACATTGGTGCTGATTTGCATATTTGCAAATTTGTCATTGTGAGTTATGGCTGAGCTGAATTTTGTCAAAAAGTATATTTTTACATTTATTTGTCAAGTTTCAATGTTTGTATTTTCAATTTTCATTAATTCACAGGAACCTGGCCATCATATTTGGCAAATTTTTTCTTGGATGTTTCTATGTTGGCACTTTATGTGAGCATGTTAATTTCTGGATGTTCGTTTTTAAAAGTTTAATATTATTGTTGAGTGTACATTGCTATTGGATTAGGTCTATGGAGCGAGTTGAACCTATATAGTTATAGGAATTTATTGGGTAGTTGTATTTCGTTATTGATAATATTTTTTCTTCTGCCTAGATGTTTTTGTCTAGGAATGTGGATATTGTTTCCTTTGTCCACCTTTTACTTTTAATGATGTTTAGTAACCAAAGATTATTAAATTTCTATGGGATTATTTGTACAAGTTTGAAGCTTAAAGAAGCATTTTATAGGACAATTTTGTTGTTTAAATTGCTATCACAAAACATTATCTTGTTTTGCTGAGACTTTTATTTGTTTTTTAACTGCTTTTAATATTTTTGTAAATGTATAAATTGATGTTTATTATTATTATTTTTGCTTGAATTTGCTTTCCTCATTTCTTTTCTTCTATATTATGTTATTTTTCCTTAAGTGCTGGTTCCTTTCTCATCATGCTCATACTTAATAATATTAAAATCCATAAAAACAACAGGCTGGATTTGTCTGAAATTTCTCACACACACACACACACACTATATATATATATATATAGTGAGATGTTGGCGCATATAGGTGCATGGAGCTCCAAATATATAGAATTCTAGCAAATGTTGAGTTTGAGGAGATGTTGATGCATGCACTCCACAATTCTTACCCGACATTTGCATATAGGTTCTTACTTTGACTCGAACATGGGACATTTAGATTACAATGGAGACAATTTAAATATCAATGCTTGCCTTCATGTATATATGTATACATATGTGCTTATTGTTTAACTGTTTTTTATTTCTTGTGTATTTATATATAAAGATGAGGTTTTTTTTTATGGATTAGAGACAAAATTGTGGACAATATTTTTTTTCTGCTGTAAAACTGAGGAAGCATTTGATTGTCATATCTTAATTTTTTATCTTTTTTGGCAGAACTGTACTAACATAAATTCCTTATTTCCCTTGTGACCATTTTATTTTTATGAAAGGGAAAGTTATTATTAGAACAACAAAACATTCTTACTTTCTATTTATGGGTTTAGACTTGGCTTTGATTTAGCCCCATCAAATTAACCAGTACAGCTTCAAAACCTACTATTCATGTATTTCTTGTTCTCTTAGAAGTTAGAACTATGGCACTCGTTTGATTTTTTTGTTTGGTAATATTTCCCAATACATTCGGATCATATTTCTTACACTATTTTTATGATCAGGCATCATATCAAGGTGCTTTTTCTCAGAAGTGGGCAGGTTTGGCAAGAACCTTTAGGTAGAGTATTGTTACTCTCATGTCTTTCCCTCTACAATTTATATCTAAATTCAGTTTCAGATTGAGCTTTTTGGTGCTTTATTGATTTTTATAGCTCAAAGCCAGTTGGAAACGATGTTATTGGTATAGATTTGGGTACTACAAACTCATGTGTTTCCTTGATGGAAGGCAAGGTAGATGTCTATTAACTCTTTCCTATGCGTTAGTATCTATATATTTATTTTTGCTTCAGCGAAAACTTGTAAAATGTCAGAAACAATTGCAAGTTCTACAAACCACATTTGATTAATTTTGATTTTTGAATTGGTTTTTTTAATAACTTTTTTGGTTGTTTACTACAGAGCCCAAAGGTGATTGAGAATTCTGAAGGAGCCAGGACTACTCCATCGGTTGTGGCTATCAACCCCAAGGGCGAACTTCTTGTAGGCACTCCAGCAAAGCGTCAAGCAGTGACAAACCCAACAAATACTTTATTTGGTACCAAGCGATTAATTGGAAGAAGATATGAGGATCCTCAGACACAGAAAGAACTGAAAATGGTTCCATACAGAATTGTCAAGGCTCCAAATGGAGATGCTTGGGTGGAGATGAATGGCCAGCAGTATTCTCCTAGTCAAATTGGTGCATTTGTTCTCACCAAGATGAAAGAAACTGCAGAAGCCTATCTCGGTAAATCTGTTTCGAAAGCCGTGATCACAGTTCCTGCTTACTTTAATGATGCGCAGCGACAGGCTACTAAAGATGCTGGAAGAATTGCTGGGTTAGATGTTCTTCGGATTATTAATGAGCCGACTGCTGCTGCACTGTCCTATGGGATGAACAGTAAAGAAGGTTTGATTGCTGTGTTTGATCTTGGTGGTGGCACCTTTGATGTGTCAATCCTTGAGATTTCCAATGGTGTTTTTGAAGTAAGTTATTAATATACTTCTTTGGTTTGGCTATATGCACTTATAACAAAATCTATTTATTTGATTTTTGTGTACAGGTCAAGGCTACTAATGGAGACACATTCCTTGGTGGTGAGGATTTTGATAGTGCACTGCTTGACTATTTAGTGAATGAGTTTAAAAGAACAGATAACATTGATCTTTCCAAGGACAAACTAGCACTCCAGAGGCTCAGAGAGGCTGCTGAAAAGGCCAAGGTGGAGCTCTCATCGACTACCCAAACTGAGATAAATCTACCTTTCATCACTGCTGATGCTTCCGGTGCGAAGCATTTCAATCTGACCTTAACTCGATCAAAGTTCGAAACTTTGGTCAATCATTTGATCGAAAAAACTCGAATCCCATGCAAGAACTGCTTGAAAGATGCTGGAATTATGGCAAAGGATGTAGATGAAGTGCTTTTAGTTGGTGGCATGACTAGGGTGCCCAAGGTGCAGCAGATTGTGTCTGAGATCTTTGGAAAGAATCCTAGCAAGGGTGTGAACCCTGACGAAGCAGTGGCCATGGGCGCTGCTCTCCAAGGAGGAATATTGAGAGGAGATGTTAAGGAGCTCCTTTTGCTTGATGTCACACCGCTATCTCTCGGCATTGAGACCCTTGGAGGGATCTTCACTCGTCTGATCAACAGGAACACCACCATTCCTACCAAGAAAAGCCAAGTCTTCTCAACTGCAGCTGATAACCAAACTCAAGTTGGCGTTCGTGTGCTGCAGGGTGAGAGAGAAATGGCTACTGATAATAAACTTCTGGGGGAATTTGAACTCACAGGCATCGCTCCTGCTCCAAGAGGACTGCCTCAAATTGAGGTGACTTTCGACATTGATGCGAATGGGATTGTGAAGGTCTCTGCGAAAGATAAGGCTACGGGGAAAGAGCAGGAGATCACCATCAAGTCCTCCGGTGGGCTGTCCGAGGCCGAGATTGATAAGATGGTGAAGGAGGCAGAGCTTCACCAGCAGAAGGATCAGGAGAGAAAGGCCTTGATTGATATCAAGAATTCTGCAGATACTACCATATACAGCATTGAGAAGAGTCTGGACGAGTACAGAGAGAAGATACCAGCTGAAGTTGCCAAGGAGATTGAGACTGCTGTGGCTGATTTGAGAGTAGCAATAGGGGAGGACAATATTGAAAAGATCAGGGAGAAGATTGAAGTTGCTAACAAAGCTGTGTCAAAGATTGGTCAGCACATGCAGGGAGGTGGATCATCCTCATCAGGGTCTGCGGGGTCTGATGGAGGTGATCGAACTCCAGAAGCTGAATTCAAGGAAGCAAAGATGTAGCTTTTGCATCAATTTTCAATGATGAGCTTTCTTTCTGCTTTGATGTTAGGGAATGTTACTGATATTATATCTTGATGCGTTATTTTTGGATGTGATTGTAGTATCTTTCCGAAGTTTAACTTGGGAATTTTGTGTGTAATATTGAAATTAAAAATAAATTGTTGATGAGGAGATTGCTAATTTGACCGCCAACTTGGTGATGGTGAAATAGATGAGGATATTATCAGCAAAATTCAAGTTGGATGGTTGAAGTGGAGGAACACATTGTGTTTGTTGTGTGATAAAAAAGTACCCCTCAAAATCAAGGGAAAATTCTATAAGATGGCGGTGAGACCTACAATGCTTTATGGTGGCGAATGTTGGCAATTAAAAGAGAAGCATAATACTAAGTTAAGTGTGGCAGAGATGAGGATGCTTATGTGGATGAGTGGTTTTACTCTTAGAGATAGCATACGAAATGAGCATATACGTGAAAAGATTGGAGTAGCTCCAGTAGAATATAAGATTAGAGAGAGTTGCCTTTTATGATTTGATCACATAAAATGGCGGCCTTCCGATTACCCGATTAGGAAAATAGAGGTATTATATTTGACTTATGTTAAGAAAGGTAGATGCAGACCTAAAAAAGACTTGGTTAGAAAATACTAGAAATAATATTTCTCTATTAGATTTAAACGAGAATTTTACTTTTAATAGAACATAATAGAGAAAAATGCTTTATGTAGCTGACCCCACGTAGTGGGATAAAAGCTTCTTGTTGTTTTTTGTTGTTGTCGTCGTCTTATTCACTGCATTGGAGGGCAATCTTGGTACTGGTGCTAATGCTAAAGCAGGCCAATTCACTGATACCATATTGCAAATGTTAAAGCAGAGGAAGGGGAGTATAAATGGAAGTAATCTTGTCGAAAAATAAAATCCTCCCATTACAACGCACACTTAATCCAATAGTCCTGAGCTGCAGCAGCGCAGAATAATGCAAACCGTGGCTCCATGCTAACATTGGAATCCCAATTACAGCCTTAAAACTCCCAAGCAACTCAGCAATGAAACGGAAATGAAAGAAATTGCGGAACACTTTTAAGTTAAACTCTTAAATATCGAGGTATTTTATAGTATAACAATTAAAATTTTATTAGAAACTAAAAAAAAATGCACTTATCGAAACACTTTCTAGGATAGATGACCTCGTGAAAAGCTACACCAAGAAGACAAAATTATGAGATTATTAGATTAAAACAAATAATATCTCAATGGCACGGAATTTGAATTATCACAAATAATATCAGATCAATATACCAAGGGGATATAACTTTTACTATTTTATCATCTTCTCAAAGATGATGAATAATCAAGCACTTTTCATGTATAAGCATAGCAAATCTTGTAAAATAAAATTCAGAATAAAGTATCTGATAAATAAGGTTTCATATCACAGGATCATTGGAGTTGGTGATTAGTTTCAATAAAACATCACTTAACAAAGGAGGCTACAACAATTATCTGCAAGCCATTGATGTAGTCTTAAGACAAACCATTACAGAGATTGTTGAAGTTGGAAAAAAACAATAAAAAGTTGCAGAGGCTGCTCGTTTATTATTTCTTTATGTAACAAACCTTTTGTTATACATTGAAATTGCACATTAAACAACTTAAACAATTCATAAAAAACGGGTAACATCATTCTTCTGTAGAGATACACATTATAAAGAGGAAAAAAAAAGGAATAGGAAAAAGAGACTAAACTCTTCTCACCCAAAAATAAAAAAGCTTGCGAACACAAATTTTACAAATAATTACTGCTTTACAGAAATGTTGCTGCGACACAATACCAGAAACAATGTTGTGGGCATGGCTTCATTTCCTGTAATTCAAACGGCTGACAAGCTTGCCAATTTTCCTAGTTCATAAGGATCTGCGTAGTAGTATAATTTGATTCTGTTTGACAATGAAAGTCCTGTGGCTAAAGGTAAGCCTTTTTGATTTGGATCATCCTGATCAGGTATATCATCTCGGAAAGCAGCAACGTCTCCGAGGAGCCTGAAAGTAATTCGGCTTGCTTGTATTGGGCGCGGAAAGTCGAAGTAAATTGGTGTTCCGCCTTTAACCTCGGGAAGCCGATACTCTCCGACGCTAACATAGTTTCTTGGTTCCTTCAAAAGAAGATGAATTAGTAGACCAAACCAGAGATTATAAGCACATACAATTAAAAAAAGCATAAGCAAAGTACATCCCATAGACACTCACCAGTTTGTTGATGGCTACACTACTGAATTCATTGCTAAGGATTAGCAAAAAAAAAATTTTTCCTACTGGCTTTATAATCTTCAATTAATTGACATCGGTTACTTCATTCTTCGTCTTACTTACACAAAGTGAACGCATCATCACATATTAACTGCATACTGCATGAGCAATGAACGATAGAGAGAACATAACCTTAGAAGTGAAAATGTTCCAAAACACAAGCAACTGAATCACATCTAGAACTCCGGTCAATATTATTTAAATTTTCCAATTGATACCCTTGCAATGTTAACAACCATTTTATGTCAATATTACTGATATCTAGATAATTATTAGAAACAATCTACCATCATAGATATAATATATCACTCCAACAATATTTTAAAATATAAATCAACATTCAGTTGATAAGATGTACTTCTAAAGCATCTGTCTCTGGTTTGCAGAGATTCACCATATTATGGATGACTCGACGCTCACTTTGGCCTCTTTCTAATTTTTATCTTTATGTTTTGCTTCAGTCAATAAGCCCTTAAACGATTTTGATCAAGGTGTTAAATAGAAACATTTATGCATTAAATGGTAGAAATATAATCAAATCGGGGAGGGGTTGTGCATCCGGGCGCATGCTAATGTCATGGAAGGCCGTTCATATTGCACAACACCCACATGCATGCCAAACACGCTGGGATTTGCAGGTTTTATGGCGGATTCAATTTAATAAACAAACATGCACTAATGATGAGTACAAGGGGATTACTCCAGAGATACGAACTTTGAAGAGACTATTACAGAATGGGCAACTCCTTGAATGCTGGTGACCACCCAAGGGACAACAAAAGTTTCATGTACACCAAGCACCTAAGAATTCCAATATTGAGACTTCTTAAGTCTGCAGCCTAGAACAAGATGGTCTCTAGCATTGCGTGGATGTCGTCAAGTAAGGTTGGTAAGCCAATGGAAGCTAGCCTGGTGCAACTAGATGAGATAAGAAGGGATGATGAAGTTGTCATCATAAAATAAACTAAACCTATGGAAGTCATTGCATGTTCTCTTAAATATGAGGGGCCAAAATGTAGGTTTCTAAAACCTGCGCTGTTTTACTTCAAATCAGAAGATCATAGGAATATATCCCAAGCTCTTGAAAGATATAAATGACAAAGTATGCTTTGGTAGAAGAATAAGTTGAAAAAATGGTAGAATTTGAAGTGAATATAGAAACTTTCAATTCAAAGTAGTGCATCGTCCACAATAGCGAATTATAATGTGGGCCCCAAAAATTTGCACCCCGACCTCTCCTCGCCTTTTATCGACAAGTAGAGTTTTAAAGAGATAATGTTCCGTGTTAAACTTTTGGAAGACATTAAATTTTAGATAAGACACTACTTCGAGATTTAGCCCTCATTTTGTAAGGATTTTATAATCTGAAGTCTGGTTTCCCAAACATGCTCAAGCCCTATGGTTAATTACCCCTCTCGATAATCAGAAAAAACTTTCGATTAGAACTAGTTATTAGATAGACATTAAATGTCCAACATATGGTAATAACAATTTTGCGGTATGGATTTTGGATTTTTACGTTTCTTTAATGTTAGCATTGTTTAAAGTTGCGCAATATGGGGCTCGCCTCAGTGCAATTCAAGTGAAAAACACTTCGAGGCTTACACCTTAAGCTTTTTTTATTAGGCTTGCGCCTTCGTTTGGATAAGGCCCACCTTGAGGCATGCCTCGCCTCACTAGCATGAAGCATACACCTCACCCTATTTATTTATTTTTGTTTGTTAAAACTAACATAAACAATGCCTTCATGCACATTCGAGCTGCATCAACTTCCTCTCGATTGCCTTTACGTCCAGCCCGCGGCCTTCGCCACAGCCACTTCTTAGGGTTATCGGATCAGGTCAATAATTAACACCCCTATTTTATGCAATTTTTATATTTAATGTTATTTTGCTCTTATAATATTTAGATTTCAATTCTATTTCATACAATTTATCACTTGTCACTTTACATCTTGTGCAATTTTTTTTTTCATATATATGCTAATTTGCTAATTCATAATTCAATAAGAAGTTAATATATCATCATTTAACATATTATTTATATATTATATTAAAAATCATTTTTGACATTTTTTTTTCACTTTATGCAATTTTTTTGATTTTGAGGTTTACGCCTCGCCTCACAAACAAAAAATGCCTTAATACCTAATTGCTTGTGCAATTTTAAACCTTGAATGCTAGAATTTGAGATTTATCCATATTTAAAGCAGATGACGGGGGAATGATGATGAGCCTAATCAAGATTCCATAATTTCGTCGTACTGATCTATCGTGGTCCCTAGTTTGCTTAATTAGAGGAGGTAATCCACGTAACTTAATAGAAAGATCCTTATCAGCAACTATGAATTATTTTGTTCAATGGTATCTTGTAGACTTAGGGGGCATGCTTGAGCTAACATTACAAAATAGAGGACTTTGTGCCTTATCAAGTATACCATATGATTCATTATCCACGGGCTTAAGTTATTGGAGAACATATGGGCTCTAGCCATGACCATAATTTAGTGATATCATTTTGTAGCTAAACCACCCAATCAGAGGGCCACAATCATTATCGTTTACAAAAAACCATCAATTAGAGAACACGTGCCACATCTTCACTGATGAGATATCGTTTGAGAATAAATCTTAGTGATATTCTTAATTGGATATCCGCTCTTTGTGAATTAACGTTATTCTCAAATTTACCACCCTCGACAAACTGTTGTAGAAGTTGAATGAATTTTTGCTTTAAAGTTTTGGGAAGTTTATCTTCACTCTGAATATTTAAGATTTTTATAAAATATAAGCATTGGAACTTTTATTAAAACTTGAGCCTTGAGCAGTTAACTTTGGGATTGGAGACATTTCATTGAAATTTGAAGAGTTCCATCCGGTTGAGATTTTCTCCTAACATGACATTATCGAGGTAACGTTAAGGTCACTTAAAAAAATATTTGATTTTATTAGGGGTTTTGAGGCTATTTAAAAGATAGAATTCCATTCGATTGAGATTCACCTTCAATGCAACCATCATCAAGGTGATGTTAAAGTCACTTTAAAATATTTATATTTTATCAAAGTTTGGAGAATTTTTAAAAGGTAGGATCCTTCCTGTTGAAATTCACCTTCAACTTGGCCATTAACGAAAATTTATTGATAATTTTATTTTGTAGTTCGAATATTTTCAACTCTGTTTGCCCACCAACATAGGCTAAGGTTCAACTACTGATAATTTTAGGTAATGTCGTATAAATGTTGAAATCAAGATTTTATATTTTTACTGGGTGAATTTCTTTAAGAAGGCTTTGAAGGCCTAATGTGAATTTAACATCAAATTTCTCGGTGGATTTTAAGATTACCTATGTTGCACTGATACGGATACGGGACACATCAATTCTTAAAAATACAGGATACGGGTACGGCGCGAACACGACATTATAATTTATAAATCATACATAAAAATTAAGAAAGCAATCAAAACATAATATTTGAAATTACAAAAAAATGACAACAACATCATTTGTAGCCTTATAGCTTATAATATCAAAATATAAGTAAGCATTAAAAGTCTAGTACAACAACAAAAGCATAAATATAAATTATCTAGTACATGAAGTTTCAAATATTCAATAGAAGGAATGATATAATTATCTTCTTTATTGGTTTGTCTTTGAACTTCCATATCATCTTCAATAAATATCATAGCTTCTAATTCAGGCTCATCAAGTGAAAGATTAATAATTTTTAATATTTTCATATCATCAAGAGACTCAAATCCATCTCGGAAATGAGAGAATCTTGCTCACAACCGTGGAAGTAAATACGACACTTTTTTTTATTTATTTTTGGTTTTCAACGGACACGCGTATCGGATACGCGTGTCCTTTTGAAATTAAATAGTATTTTAATTAGATACGGCTTTGACGTATCCGACATGTATCGGTGGAGTATCGGAGGCGTATTCGTGTATCAATGTATCGGATACAGCACGCCTTCATAAATAGGTGTATCGGTGCAACATAGATGATTACATGTTTGCTTATTAATTCAAGTCTTGTCAATTCCAATCCTTTCAAAGAAGGATTGAACTTGAAATTTCAAAATTCATTTTTAACTCATGTAACATTCTTAGACGTCACACTTGTATGTTTGTCGCGCTCGTCAGAGCACAAGCTGGTGATTTAAACTTCATTTAAATAATGTACGAGCCTTTTGTTGAATTTGTACGATGCACCAACACACTTTTCGATATATTTGCATAATGCACTTTCACATATATTGAATATGTTGGTATGCTTTGTATTGTATTTGCATAATGCACTTACATACATTTCGATGTATTTGCACACATTTCAATATATTTTCATAATACACTTACACATTTTTTATTGCATTTGCATAATACAATAGCAAACTTTTGCTGAATCGATATACTTTCTAAAGCGATTATACACTCAATTTTCAAAGCATTTTTACTTGATACCTTTACACGCATTTCAAAATAATGGTGCGATTACAATTATCTTGCACAATGCACTTATACACCTTCCATTGTATTTGTGTGATGCATTCACACACTTTGAATGCGTTAGCAGGCTTTTTGTTGCATTTGCGTCATGCATAGCACATATTTCATTACATCATGATGCATATGCACACATTTAATTGCATTTGCATAATGCACTTCCACACTTTTCAAAACATGAACTTTAAAAAGCAATTACCATTTTCTAATCAATATAGCATTCTCAAATGCCATGTATATACATGACACGTTGTCGAAGCAAATGCAGACTGCCCATTTTCAACAAGACTTATTTTCTCATGTAATTTCCAATGTACATGTATTGCATATTTGCACAAGTTTCAATGTATCCGTATGAAACTTATGTGTGATAAGCAGTGCACTGGATGCATTTTGGGATGCTTCTCAGGGAAAATTTTAGTAGAATTTAAATGCTGCCCCACGATGCATGCATATGACTTGAAAATGCCCTGATTTGGTTATTTTATTTGTCTTCGCATTTCTTGCTCAAATTTTGTATCAGAATTGGAGGGTCATATTCCAAATTGTGTGAGTAACAGCCATGCAAATTCTAATTTTGCCTTCGTATTTGAAATTTTAGAAATTTAACAGGCCGCCCTTCTATCCGCTTATACGAAGAGGGGTGCAGATACAGTGGCGAAGAAGATGACAAATAAAATGAATATGGAGGCGAGAATAGGGACATTTATGACACATTTTTCATATGTTTGTACTCTTAGGGATTTAAAATATTACTTTCATTAATGTTATGAGTCTCACATGAGACTTCTTCGTCCTTATAAGTATGAAAGAATGGGAGGGTTCACTCTCATATCCCAAGGCTTAAGTTTTCATTGAATTCTAGTTTGACCTTTAGGGTTCTATAGTTCTATATTGCTTTTACTCCTTTGCTGGGTGTTGGTTCCGGTCCCCTTTGTGCCCCTTCGGTTTCTCCCCTGGTTGCTTTCCCATGGCTGCTTTTACCCAGTTCTCTGTGTTGCCTTCTAAGGTGTTGTTCTGGATTAAATGCTGGCTGTTTGGGAGCTATTTCTGAACTGTTTCTGGACTGATTGCTGGTTGGCTGTTTTGGGTGGCTGAAGTTGTCCTTTGGGCTCTCTTTTGGTGGCTGTTTGGCTCCTCTTTCTTTACCTATATATAGAAGATGTTTGTGGTTGTTTTAGAGAATGTTAGGATGGAATTTTTGGAGTAAAAAATATGAGGATTTTTCTTCTTTCTTTGGAAAAGCTTGCGAGATTGTTCCGTGCTTCTCTTCTCCTCTAGGAAAGCTTGCGAGATTGTTCTCTTTCGTCTCGGCCTCTTATCTATTTCTTCTCCCCGCATGTGACCACTTCAATTGTATATTTCTTCTCAATCAATCCAAGAAAGCAAGTTTAGGTGTATGTTTATGTGTGTTTGTAAGTGTCAAAAGTTGTAAGTGTCCTTTTTATATGTTATAAAGTTATTGTTTTTTGTTATTTCAAGAGTGTCTTTGTATCCTTCTTATTATCCTAGGAAGAGTTTCTTTTGCTTGCAAAAATTAGGGGGTTGTCCTAATTTTTGCATGCATCAGAAAGCAACATACAAACAGTCAAAGGGATGAAAATAAAATGAAAGCGAATTTCCCAAATGCCTAGAAATTAAAAAAACCAAAAGCGCTGAATATCCTTGAGCAGTGAGATCATCTACCTGAATGGCAGAAACCTGCATATACAAGATAGCAGGGTATATGTACCGGTCTTCTAATCCTGTTAGTGAGGAATCCCATAAATCCACATCTGAAGAAAAAGGTGAATGAGCAATGCGAGGCCTTATGACACTGAAAGCATCCAATCTAAATCCAGCTAACCCAGGTGCAGTAGGAGATATGTACAACTCAAGGACAAGGTCATTAAATGTTAACCTTTCCGCTTCGATAGGAACCTAAGGCAAGGCAACTAGTCAGTTACTGAACTATATATATACAGCAAAAGTTTGTTAAAGGAAGCAATATACTCTGAATCGCCCCCATTGTGGAGAATTTTCTAAGGAAATTTTCATTTTCATAAATTCTGAGTTCTCCGAAGTATCCTGGTTTTCTCTTTTGACAGATCTCCCAAATACTATAAGCCTTTTTGCATGGATGCATGCATCGCTTGCAACTTCCCCAACAGTACAGTCATTGGGCCTGGTTATAGCAAAAGGATTTCCATCAAAACCAAGAAGGTCAAAATCTTCCTTCATGTAGGATGAAGATCCCGGCTTAGCCAGACTTAGCTCTATCCAGATGATCCTGCAGCGAACAGGGTTACGAAAGAGAAACTTCATATGCCTTGGAATATCACTGTCGTTTTGAGATTTTTCAGGCCCATGAAGATATGGAGACGAAGCAATTAGGGAGCGGACATCCCATTTTCCCATGAAAGAACGCTCATCCTTGTGTATTTTATTACTTGCCCATACTTTTACCTGTACACCAATGATGAAAAAATTCTCCATCATAAAACACTAAACAGATTTTGAAAAAAAGATAATGATACCAGTGCAATAGAAAGAAAACATAGAGTAACATGAAACGTAAATCTACTGATCAAATAAATTTGAAATAAGAAAATGATACCAGTGGAAAAGAAAAGAAGAGTAAAAATTGACATTATGAGCTAATCTAACGAACTACTACGTTTTAAGGTAAAGATGGAATCAAGAATAAGTTAAACAAAAATTCATCCATGTTAGTCGTGCCAAGTTAATGGGGTGGCATACATGGCTGGCAACCACGCAGGCTCAGCAATCCACAGGCTTAAATTGCAAAAATCATTACTGACAGTGCACAACGAAGTGATCTAGAGCCCAAGGGTGAACTACGACAAGGCTAGTACTGCTAGAGAACACATGAAAACATATCCAGGATAACATCCTCTACAGGGAAAAAAGAATAAATTGGAATGAAGGCCTTTGTTTCTATCATCAAATGCAGCATTTAGTTAAAAATGCATGAACCATAATGACCGCAGGGGAGAGGGAGGGAGGGAGGGAGAGAGAGAGAGAGAGAGAGAGAGAGAGAGAGAGAGAGAGAGAGAGAGAGGACAGGAAGACTATAAAACAAGGAGCGAGGTTATGAGGTCTATAGGCCATGGCATTTCAGTTGATAATGTTGCAAATAAGAGCAGAAAATCTAAACATATGAGAATTCAATACGGGAAGTAACTTATCAGAAATACAAAAAGGCTTCTAAATGTGGAGGTTATATAATTCATCACCATAAACACAAAAGTAATTAGCCCATGGAATATCGTTTACGTCCTAGTTAAATATAAGAACAAAATGATACAAAAGAAGTAAATTCTGATGCTATGTTCTTACGGTAGGACAATCTGACGTAGAATAACCACATGAGCTGACAACCAAGATAACCCCAGAGACATCAGATAAACTTCCAAGAACAACAGAAAATTCAACAGTGGAAGAACCTGGGGGAGCTCTCCAGTAAGAATATTGCTCTCCCACACCGAGTGGTGCAAGTAATGATATTAATGGTTGAGAGCCAACCGCTGTTTCCACCTGTAACAAGCAAAAATATCTCCTTGAGCTCAAAATAATAATAAAAAATATTTATTATTAACTCCAGTATGGGCCAACAATAGTCAGCGGGGATATGGGAGATCAAAAATAAACTTGCATTAATTTAAGCATTGGATCAAGCAGTATTACCGTGTATAATAGACTAGCATAAGGAAATTCAGCAAGGGACTCCTCTCCATTTAGTAGTTTCTTTAATTGCCTCGTGGAACATTCCTTATCCTGCCAAAAATTTGATGTCTTGCTTACATCATGCCCCAGAACATGGCTAAGGGCTTTAACTGAAGCATCATCGGCACGAGTTCTTCTACGTAAGCCAGCCAAAACCCTGAGATAATCCACATATAATGCAGCAAGTATAACTTCATCACAACAAGATTTACATATAACCCCACCCAGCGCAGATGAAGGTTGTGCGGAAGTCCCATCACTCTGCCAACCATGACTTGATCCACTTTGGTCTGATGAGCTACCATAAATTTTCATATCTTTGTAAGTCCTGCTTGTAAGCAAACTAGCTCCCCGTCCAGCACAGCAAAATTTACAAGCTTTTCTTTCACATTCTGCGCAGACAAATAAGTTTTTACTTGAAACAGTAGAAGTTGATTTTGCAAAAGTTTGAATCTCCAATCGAACTTCACATTTCGTGCCAATGCAGGTATCTCCAACTTCACCAATGTTCCAGAAATCTAATTCATCATTATCTTGTATCTCAAGACCAATAGAAGCATTAATCTTATCTTCAAATGCTGTCTGTCCTAGTATTGCCAGACAGTCGGCATGGTTACATAATTTTGCCATATACAACTCATCTATTAGGCAATTTGGATCTATCATTGCAGGATCAATGCTTATCGCTAATAAAGCTCTATCCCTTTCGGCAGCAGAAATGCCCAGTCGAAGACGGGCAATTTCAAGCTTTAAAGTTTGCAGAAAATCAAGAACCCTTCCCTGAGATGTGTATTTGGACGAGGAAACAAGAAATGAGATAAATATTGATGTTTACAAGAAACAAATTTAAGAAGTTATATCAACTAGTAACTTCCAAAGAACAATTTGAATGCATATATAACTACATTGTTATCAACCAACTACAAGCCAGGAACAAAAGCATCCAACTCAATGGAAACTGAAAAGAATCTACGGGTACACACTGAAATCATCATAGCAGTCACAATAAAAGCAACGGCAGTAGTAAACTCATCCCAATAACTTTGGTTTAGACGCATATACCCTTACTTCATCAGTCATTCAGATAAAGAACTCTATATGCAGTAAGTTCTGGATTTGCAATATCTATAGTTGTATCGACCAACTGCATGACCCAACTTTGCTTTATGTATTTGTTGGTGAATTTTCTTAGTTATAGGCTATAAAGGCCTAATATGAACGTATAAAACCAAATATCCGGTCGATGCCGTGACTGTATATTTATTCATTGGTTCAAGTTGTATCAACTCCTGTCCTATCAAGGAAGAGAATTGGACTTGAGCTTAAATTTATTTCTTGACCCGCGCAGCATCCTCAGACGTCACGTGTGTAAATATCACACGTTCGTCAGACCCATGCCGGTATTTAGGAGGCATTTTTTTTAATATTATATGTTGGACCTTGTCGACTCTGTCTAATTGCTAATAGAGTGGTTAGGTTCATTGTCGACTTATGCCTTTGTCTAGTGAATTTTCATTATTTATAGGTCTTGAAGGCTTAATATGAACGTATTAAAATAAATATCTCGGTCAATGTCATGGCCATATACTTGTTTGATAGTTCATACCATGTGACTTCTACTGACCCACATAAAAGGATTGTGTTTGAACTTGACTACATTTACTGACCCGCTTAGCATCCTCTGACATCACGTATATGCCTACGCTACGCTCGTCGGGGCCCATGCGAGTATACAATTGCACATGCATTTATTTGTGCTTGTGTGTATACATATTGTAGTGCATGTGTTGGGGGATTTTTGGAATATTTGATGGGTCATATACAACAGCTCGTAGAAGCTTGTGTTTGTCGTAGCCCTTATGTATTTGCCCGTAAGCTATGATGCACCGACACTTCTCCTCAAAGAGGCGTGAATTGTCCGACACCGTGTCCGACACGACACTCGTCCGACACTCCTTTGACACGTGTCGGACACGTCGAAAACGTGTCCGATTAAAAAATATTAAATGCAAATTGGACACGCGTATCTTAAATATTTTATGAATTTTTTTTAATATAATTTATTGTATTTTGCAGGATTTAAACTAAATTTCTTATTTCCTATCCACAACACCAAATCAACGTACGCACTTAATACCCAATCATCAAATATTCTCATTTTGACTTCTTTTTGGCAGTGAAGGTATTTCATCTCCTCTCTCGGTGACTGATAAATAACATTGACGCTTGATTCTCAATGCCTAAAATATTAATTGTTGTTTTTTGAAAATTACCAAAAAAAGCTAATGTACATGCTCGGTACCGGTCAGTACAAGCTTGGTACCGCTTGGTATAAGCTCAATACCGCTAGGTACATGCTCGCTACCGCTCAGTACATGCTCAGTACCACTCAGTACATGCTCAGTACCGCTAGGTATATACTCGGTAGTGCTCGATATCTTTCCATATAAATAACTTACGAACTTTAAAAATAAGCAGAACTTCAAATTACTCTTACCCTGACAGATTGAACCCCGCTAGGGGGCAGCGCTCCCTTGGACCCACAACAAACTGATATATTGTTGTATCCATGTTGTCTTATTATTGAGATATTTTGATTTCACTTCATATCAATTATAATTTCTATGTTGAAGGATAGTAGTTCAAATATAAATTATCCATTAGGATTTAGGAGGAATATAAATCTTTGTCTTCTATCAAGGAAAATTCCACTTTATATGACATGTGATAATAAGATGTGGGATGTTGTCGGAGATGGGTTCGAGTGCCTTGATGATATTGGGATTGTTTGAGGTTGCAAATCTTTCTCTAGATGAACCAGAGTTGGAAGAAATGATATTCAATGATGATGATATTGAAGGCTAAAGATTAACCTCTGAATATAATTCTAACATTCTATCTATTGAGTAGTTAGACCTTCATGTTGTAATAAATGATTTTTTGTTTATATTTTTGTGGTTGTACTAGACATTTTTTACTAAATATCTTTTTGTTATAAGCTAAACAAGTTATTATGAAATTGATTTATTATTGCTTGTCATTTTTAATATAATGTCATCTTAATTTTTATATATTATATTAAAAAATTATTATGCCGTGTCCACGCCGCACCCGTGTCCTATATTTTTAAAAAATGTTGTGTCCCGTGTACGTGTCGTGTCGACGTGTCCGTGTTGGTGCATCATAGCCCGTAGGTGACATGTTGAGTGCACGACGGGTTTTCTACAGCTTGTAGGAGCTTTTACTTGTTGCCTATCATCCATCTCTGCTTACGAACGACATGTTGAGTATAAAATGGGTCTCTTGTAGCGGCTCGTAGGCATCTACTCTCATTGCACGTCGTACATCTTTATTGGTAGGAGAAAGGTGTATTCACTTACAATCAAGTGATATTGATTGTATGAAGGCAGCATTTGCATCAGACCTTCGGAATACACCGTCTTCAATTCATTGTATGTTGATATCAGATGCTCAGTGTGGTTGCATTTGACATTGTTCCTTCGTACATATTAATTGACAAATTGTTGCATGTTTTTGCAAGCTGGTTCAATGTGTTCATCTACAAGAGTATTCAGTGTATTCATTCAATGTGTTCATCTACAAGAGTATTCAGTGTATTCATTTGCAAGTTAATCATCATTACTTATACGTGGATGAATGTGCTCATTTATGAACTGATGCTGATTGTTGGGTGGGTTGTATTCATCGTTGATATCCTCCACATATGTTCATCGACAATTCACCATGTTCATTGTGTATTGACTTTCAACATTCGTAGGCGACCACCATATTTATATACGAGTTGGATGTCGTTGGTTGGAGGTAAATCATGGTACTCATTTCATGTTCTTCACATATCCTTCACAAACATGCTGTCCATGGTTAAGATGAATTGCATGCACTTATGTTGTATGCTCCCTTCAGACTGACTGTGGCTTGTTGACATTAGTTTGCAAGCAAGTGTTTGACAATTTATCCATCATGGGTTTTATGATTGCTCATAAATCTTCGTACTATTTGTTGTTTATGAGTGGGATGTATGATTCTTATCTACCGCGAATCATTGTTTGTAAGCAAGTAATGATTGAATTCCTCTTCACCATAAGTTCTATGTTCGTTCATGCGCCACATATCAAATTTAGTGCTTGCAGGGAATTGCACATTGCCGTTCATTTGAGTGTTCTCCACAAGCTCCCTACATGCACTTGTATGTGAATTGTCACGATCACTACATGCTCCTTGTATATGGCCATCAGTAAGCCATAAGTTTGTTGCATGTTTATTATTGTTATTTATGAGTAACCTTTCAATCTTCATCACTTGTGAGGTTCCATTTGTTTGTTTGCATAATCATATTGATTATATAGGTGTTACTGCATTCATCTTATGTTACATGCCAAATCCTTCTAGTTGTATTTGCTTGTAGATGGCGTATAGTGTGCATATCTCTTCAACTTGTAGGTCGGCTGCTGTGTTATGTGGATTTTTATTGAATCTATTCGTAGGCCATCCATGAACATTCAAGAGTTATCAGCTTAGATTGTATATAGACCGTCGTGGATATCATAGGCCTTCTAATGTGGTTTGCAAGCGTTGGCATTCATCACAACCTATTGCCTTGGATGTGTAGATGATGCATTGCATACATCATAATTTTCTCATGCATGTTGACCGACAAATTACTGCGTTCACTTGCGCCTCGATTTTCAGTGTCCATCGGAAACTGGTATTCTTGTTTGCAATACTTATATAAATGTTACACATTGTATGTCATCATTCGTAGATCATATACATGCTAAAGATCTTTGCACATTTAACTAGGATCAAGTTATACATTCCTTTTCATTTTCATTGCTTGCAGAATGCAATGTGCTTGCTCTTATGTTGGTTCTGATTATAAAGGAGTTATTGCACTCATCACACATCCTTGTGTTTATTGCAATTATTTCAAATCAACTAACTACATGGCCAAGATGAGTATTATAAACTCGTTGTTATTATTCTAATACAAATTATGCTATCTGTTGAAAGCATCATATTATGGCATGAAATCAAATTGTGTTGTTTACAATTTCATTACTACTTGTAAGTAGTGTTTGCAAATCTTTTATCCAACACAAGCTTTGTATTCGTTCATTTGCATTTAATTTGGACCTTGTATTTTGCAAAGTATAATTTAATTTTAAGTGTTATGTCATTTTCCGTATGGTTTGATATTTAATTCCTTGTGGTCCGTTCATTCAAGTTCACAAGTCCCCTGCTGTTCATTTTGTGTTTGAGTTCAAATACAGTCCTCTGTAATTGCTCAAGTTTTATGTATCTTCAGACCGAATTTTGGCAGCGGGCAGCCTCTTGGCATCTCTCTCATTTAGGGGAAACTACAAGAGTCTTAGCTTGCCCGCAACGTCAAGAAAGACGTGCACTGTCGGTGTCGAGTGACATCACGACCGTAGTACTCAACCCCACTACGCCAAGAAAGACATGCATGGGTCTTCAGGGGTACATGTTTGACAACGCATAGTTGTTTCCCGCCGGCATTGAGGCACTTACGAATACTTAAATTTTGCCCCGCTGTAATAAGAAAAGCATGCACAAGGCTCGCTTGCCCGCCTCGAGTTCCCTCCCATCACGCTAAGAAAAACGTGCATAAGTGATCCCTCGGTGCATTGCAAACACCAATAACGGGACTTTGAGGTTTTAAGTTTTAAAGAACAGTTATACCTTGACGATATGAGGATTGACGGTGGTGATGTCGAGACAATGACGACGACGACGAGCGTGCACAAATTTTCCCCTCTTTTTTAGATTTTTGTCTCTCTTTTTCTCTTTTATTTTAAAATAATAATAATAGCAATAAGGCTAATATTAATAATACTAAAGATATTATTTTTATTTTAAAATAATAATAAATACAATAAGGCTAATATTAATAATACTAAAGATATTATTAATAATAGTAACCAATAGTATTAATTAACGGTAATAGTTAATACTAATAATTAATGATAATAAGGAGAATGAATTGTTGTATAATGGTTTGTTGTTGATTTGGGCTTGGGTTTATGAGTGTTGTAGGATTGGAGTGGCGCTACAAGTGTGGGCTCAGATCGGAGATGGGTGTGGGCTTCAGAGGCGAGGTTGGAACTAGGGCAGGGATTGGCTCGGGCGTGAGGGCCTTGCGTAAGGTTAGAGTCAAATGGGGATCATGGATGGTTTGATGTCGACTGGATTGATATGGTTGGAGGTAGAGGAGGAACGAACAATTGAAAGGATCGTGGCTTGAAGAAGAACGGACATGGGGCGGCCGAGTTCGACTGGTAAAGGCATGGATCAGAACGAACTGGTGTCAGTTGGGAAAAGGAGATCAGATGTCACAGTCAACTTCGGCGTGCGAGGTTTTGATGGTTTGCAAAGAAGGGAAGAAGATCCGGTGGCTGGGATCTAACGCGTGAGTCAGAGAAGGGCTATGATCGGTCAAGTGAGTTGCGACTTTGGTGAATCGGACAGGGTTCGGAGCTTTGGGCGTTGGATTGGTCCGACAAGGTAGGTCGAAGGCAGAGAGGCTTGTATGCAGGAAGAAAAAGACTTGCACGTGAGGAAGCAGCAGGAGAATGAACCGAGAGCTTTGCTTCGTCGTCGTATTTAATGACTTGATAAAGCATATTTTCGCACGTGGGTGTGAAGAGACCATTTGGCTCCGCTTTGTAGAGCTGCGCTAGGATTTTTCGCAGAAAATCGGTATGGGCCTCCATTTCTACAGGGATCTCGCAGGGTTTTGGGTGTTGACGTGGAGATAAGGATCCTTTTTTTATTTGAATTTTCTGTTAGAGGTCAACAATTACATACTCACGTAATACCCATAAAAAAAGAATTTAGAAGAAAAAAGTTCAAAGAAATAAGTTACTAAACTATAGAAGATCCAGGCCTGCAGATCTACAGGAAGATGACTTCTGGCAAAACTAGCTAGTCATGCTTGGAAAATTGAAATTTTATCGAATAAAAGTTGTTCTTTACATGAACCAAATTATCTATTTATGACCAGTAGATCTCAAGTTGTTAGTTTATTGAAATTTCTTGAAACAATCACTAAAATCCCGAAAAAGTTCATCTGTTTCACGAGCTATGTTAATAATTACATCAACAAAATGAAGAAGTTAGGAATCAATGACACGTTGAAAAATGCAGCTGCAAAAAATCAGCATAGCAAACATGAAATATGAAAATACTAGAGGTAACATAACGTATCACATAAACCATTTGAATCAATACTGTCAAATGAAAAACCACATGCTTTAGGACGATAGCTATAGCCGTACATCTGGAGCAAAATCAAATTAGACAACATATCAACATCATATTGAACATACGGTAATTGAAATCATTTTTAACTTCTATTGAAGAGAGAGAATTCTAAAAAGACTTGATGGTTTGAAAAACATACAATGAAGGGCAGAAAATGCAGCCATAGGATGAATAAATAATATTAGTGCTAGAGAATTATGAAGTATAAGGGCAAGGTTACATGAATAGAAATTGTTCAACATGATTTAGAAAGAAAAAATATCACCTAAAGCAACACTATATAAATAAATGGAAATGAGAGTTCATAAAGCCAACTTAATATAGTTGATATAGGACTAATGATGATGATGATGATCAATATCATAGTGACATATTAATGTAAGTATTATAAAAATAAAAAATAGCATAACATAAACTAGAAATAAAAGAGCATAACCATACAAATTAAAGCTTAACAATTTTTACCCATCAAGAAATAAAAGAGCATAACCAAATAGCACATCAATATTGTATTTGATATATAAATGCAAGTAATAAAATAAATTAAAGCTTAAAAATTTTTCATACATATAGAATATTGGTTAGAAGCAATGGTATGTTGCCTCAATTATGACCTAAAGGTCATAAACTCAAATAATATAAACTCTCTCATTAATAGATCTCCTTAATGCAACGGAAGGGCTGCTTTTATCAAAACATCCCGGTCCTCCCCATACTTTGCATTACTGAGGCCCATGCACTCTGGATGCACTTTCATAATTTTTTACAAAAAAGCAAATAAGTAAATTAAAATAAACAAAAGATCCATTAGAAGAACATGCCATAAAAGTGGACATACCTTATTGGAAGTAAAGGATTTAAAGATGTTAATATAGCTCTTTGTGTCTCCATGATCATTATTAAAATTTTCTAGCGATTCAGTAGGCTCTGCAGAAGGAAGTCGATCAGGAGTGGGACTGTTGAAGAAATCAAGGCTTCCACTCTGCGGCATTGTTTGTTCTATTGTACTCGAAAACTCCGGCAGAGATATGGAATGCGATAATACTGGATCACCTGTGAGAAGGTCTACTGCATGGCTGGCAATATTTTGTTGAGATAATTTTAATAAACCTCCATTTGAAGGAGCAGTATTATTTTTTGGAAGTGAGTCATAAAATGGATTTGAGAAGGCTTCGTGTTGATTAATTATGAGAGAGCTGTGTTCTTTTGGTCCTGCAGTTTTGATAAATTTAGCACCAAGTCCACACTTACTAAATATGTCCCTCCAAGGAAGGGAAACACCAAGAACTTCAATCTGCAAAATGACTGATGCTTAGGGGAAAGTGCATGTAAGCAAGTAGATAAGATTTTCAGCGGGCAGAAATAATTAGTTTACTGTAAGAAAAACTTGTAAAAACGCATAGAAGAAAGCCAATTACCGTCTAACAGAAAAAACAGAAAAACAAAATAATGGCAAAATTAACATCATAAAATTTTAAAAAAATATGATAATTATTTTATAGACATTATGTACGTGGAAAAAGACTAGAGGTTATAAACCAAAATAAGGAAACTTTTGACACAACAGTTTTAAAGCACATAAAACTGTTTTATAGATCATTATTTTCTTAATGAGAATAGCCTGGAGGTTAAAACCATTAAAAAAAAAAAAAAAGTGTGAACAACTATTGCAACAAGAATTAGTGCTTCAAGTTATTTTATTTGAAATCTTTTGAATCATGTTAGCAGCTTCATAGTCTAATAAGTATAACACCAAAATCTCTAGACAATGGAAGAAGCAATAGAAGCATCCCCATTCTCAAAGTGAAAGCATATTTTCTATATTCAATTATATTTCACTTTTTTTTTTGTATATGATAGGAGACAGGAAGCAGGAATACCGCATAGACACGATGTAGTTGTGGCACTGTGGTCGTGCATCCGAGGAGAAGGAGGCTATGATCGACACTAGTTTGGCAAAGAATTTTTTTTTTCCATTTTATTTATATATAATTTAAAAGAGCTAAAATTGCTCAATTTCTCCTTAATCTCATAAGCCAATTTTGCATCGCCTCTTATGCAAGGTGTCTAGAACAATATAGGCATCTTTTTGGGTAATTTTGACATGATGAATGCCTCAACACAGCCCATTTTATAAAACGAGCAAGATTTGAGTGGTTATTATTTGATCGAGGTGTTTTGAACCATATTAGCACTACGTTGTGTTCATTGTTTGTCATTTTTTTGTCATGCAATAAAATTTATATTGGAGTCCCCTCTTCGTAAGTTTGATAATCATGACCCATTGGGGTGGTCCGTTTTGTGAAACATGCGACATTTGAATACATTGCTGAGAGCAAGGCGTTATTTAATGGCCAAGAGCAACAGTGCACCAATTATTTGTTTTTTTCATTGCATTTGATCGATCTGAGTTTTGGAATGGATGTATGGATAAAAAAAAATGCCTACCAACAGATTTTAAAAATTAAATTTCTGTAAAGCCATTCAGAACCTATCCCTTGCTAATAAAATGGGAAAAAGAAAACCAATGTCGGTGATCTCCCTCAGTGCATCTAACCACCGCTCAACTTGGATCCAAACTCTTGTGAACTTGCCTAGTTTAGTGGAAGCTCGAAAGTTTATTGCAGATTTTTACTCAAAATAAAGTGCTGGAAACAGCAGTACATGTGTATTTCAGCAGCTAGATTACTGTTAAGGTTGCTTCATATGGGCTATAATTTGTATTGAGAATTGTATTTGCAAGAATGTAACTAACTTGAATTTGGTTACAATGAACTAAGAATTGTAGTGCATTAAACAATCTATTAATAAAAGTTGTCAGGGCTGAACTGGACAGCAAAGAACCATTTCCCCATTAGTGTTAGTTCTCTCTTCTTCTGTAAAACCCGAAAATCCTATTTTAGGCTTTGCACGCTTTTTAAAGCGCCGCGACGAGAATTTAGTGGAATTTTCAACGTTAACGGAATTCAACGAAATTAATTTTAGAAAATCCTACACGAAATTTTGATCGTTTTGGTATATAGAACTTATACCCAATTTTGCCTATTTTTGGAGTTATTAATTTTAGAAGCCTAAAAATACCTAATATACCCTTACTTAACCCTTAAACCGAAATTGCTGAAGTGAGGGTAATATGGTCATTGTAGCAAACCCCAATTCCTCTTAATAGCATAACCGAGCCCTCATCTCCCCATTCACGCGTGATTTTACCGAAAACGAGAGAGAGGGAGCGGACGGTCCGGCGGTCGGGCAAGGGGCGACGTGCGTTCCGGCGACGATCTTCCGGCGAAAGTTTTAGGTCGAATCGAAGAGAACGACGAGTGGAATACTCAGGTACGATTATTTTAGAACAAATCCTTCTAAATCTCTAGATATTTGAGATCGAAAAATCTAGGTTTTTTCCAAATTCGATTTTCTTTCGCAATTTCTTTACGAAATCTTTAAGGAATATTTAGAAGATTGTTTTGGCATTAAAAACATAGAGATTTGAGGAGAATTTTGGAGATTTATAAGTTAGGGCTTTTGACCTAAAACTTAATTTCGTAAAACACCTATACGAAAATGATTTCTAAGGGTATTGGGAATGATTTTAATGCGGAAATTTTGATTTTGGACGAAAATTTTATTTTCACTAATTTTCATGATTATTTTAATCCGAAAATATTATATTATTATTATTATATGTTAAGGATCAATTTAGAATCAATGTTTGGATGAAATAGGAGATTTATGAATTTCCAAAATTTAGGTATTTAATTAATCCGAAAATTAATACCTATTTAATTAAAAATCTACTAAGTGTCGTAGGAAATCATTAAGGAAAAATGAAGGGTGATTTGACATGTCTCTTTTAAAATCATTTTACGTAGGGGACCTCAGGAGGATGAAAGGTTCCTTGTTATGTTATTAGTTTGAGTCTGAGTTTATTTTTCCATGCAGTTTGTGGGTTTGAGTTTAAGGTTTGGAGTTTATGTAATGAATGTTTAAAGTTTAGTAGTTATGTGAGACAGTTAATGGTTTGAAACTTTTATTTCATTTCGGGTGTATTTTAGTGGCTCTTTCAATTAATATTTGGATGATGTTTAAAGCATTAATATAAATGGTTTATGTTTATTTATGTTTTTCCGTACGACCTTTTTGCTCCCGTCCCGTTAACTCGGGCTAGCCGGGTCGGGTCGTGACATCTTCCTACTAGAATTTTTGGTTTCACTTCTGGATTTCGAGTTGCTCCAAATGCTCTATATGTTTTGGGTACTTATCAATGGTACTTTTGTTGGCTTCTACTCCGATGAACGTTTGCTAGGATCCATGAATCAATAGAGACCACAACAGGTTCTTGAAACTCCATTCTACCTGCTAGTGTCACCCGCAGTTTTCAGGGTAGTGCAGGAAGCGGTTCAACTCTTGTAGTTCTTTAGCTGGTGAAAACTCAGTCCTGATGTTCTTGACATCTTCCTGAGTTTGACTTTGCAGATAAAATCATTGTTGGCGTGGGTGTAAAGTTGTGAACTTGCCTAGCTCATTTTGAGGTCAGGAATCAACGTTTAAAAAAAAAAAAAAAAGGCTTCAAAGGGAATGATAGATTTTGACTCAAATAAAGTACCTGGAAAAAGTTATAAAATGCATATTTCAGCAAATAGATTACTATTATGGTTGTTTTATATAAGTTGTGATTTGTAGTTAAAATTGTATTTGCTAGAACGCAGCTAAATTGAATTCAGTTGCATTGAATTGAAGAATTGTAATTCATTGGACAACCTCTAAATAAAAGTTCTTGAGGCTAAACCGGGAATAAAAGAACCATTTTGATGTAGGACGAGGGGGGGAGTCGGTCTATGAATGGGTTTAATTGGGGATTTGATTAGAGGAATTAAGGGCTTGATTGGGGTGATATTAATGAGCTAATTAATTAAATGGGGAAGGGGGAGGGGGGCGGCCAAAGAGAAGAGAGAGAGGGAGTCTAAGTTCAATGTATGTGAACCCATGACTTTAATTATTGATTGGAAATCAGATTTAAAATATGATTTTAGAGTTTATTCAAAGGAAAGAAATTTCCTAAACTAATTCATCAATTAAGAAAGTATTTAAATTCAAATAATGACTTGAATTTAATTAGGAAACTTTCCTAATCAATAAGAAACTATTTTAGGAAAGTGATTAAGAGGAGTTTGAAATTTGAAATTCATAGGATTTTGGAGGGATGGCCGAATTCACTTTTATCATTGGGATTTACTAATTAGGATGGGACTTAATGTCCAATCCAAATCAAATTAATTTTAAATTTGATTTTAGAAACTTTTCTAAAATAGGATTCTATTTTAGGAAAGGTTTCAAATTTCAAATTTGAATTAATTGATTTAAAATTAAATGACTTTCCCAAAGAAGTTAAGCAAGAAAGGAAATTATTCAAGTGGAGATTGAAGAATTGGAGGCAAGGGAGGGGGATGGCAATCGGCGGTTTGGCTAGAGGTGTTGGAGATGGGCCGGCGATTGGGTGGACTTTGAGGGGCTGATTTGGAGATGTGGTGGTATGTTGAGGTTAGTGGGTGCGGGAGAATTAGGTGGCCGGCAGTAAGGAATTTGGTGACGCCTTAGGCCGGCGGCTTGAGGTGGAGAGAGGGGAGGAGGAGAAAAGGATTTAGGGAAAGAAAGATACAACTGTGAGCCCGGACACATCCTGCAACTGACGAGTAATACGTTGCCCTTCTCCAAAGGACTTCACGCCACGAGCCCAGACCTATCATGCAGCTGGTGGAAACTCCACTTCCCTCCCATAGGAATCTCACCTCAAGTTCTCTCCAAAGAACACAAGTGCAAACAAAATTTCTTTTCTTAATAATTCCTCCTTACATTACACAAGCAAGGACCTCTATATATAGGCTTAAGAAACTAAAACAAGACACATATGCCCCTAGGGCTTACATAGGACGACCCTCTTAAGTAAGGGTAAAAAGGGAAAATTCATAATAAAAATAAAATTACAAATAACAAATTAAGATAAGGTGGAATGATCTCGGCCGTCGATCGTCGTCTCCTCCTTTTAAAATCTTCATGATCGGATGTCCGCATCACATTTCCTTGCTAGTGTTAGTTTTCTTTCTTTCCTAAAAAAATGGCTTCAATTTTAGAGTTTGGACAACTCCAAATTCTAGATAAGTTCCAGTTACCTATAACAAACCTTTAGTTTCCCTCTAACCACATTTAACAAGGACCAATCCTAATTTCCCATCCTTTTTGTCAATGAATCCACCCTTCAACTGATGAAAATATAGCTTCCAACACGCAAGCCTTTAT